CAGGGTCTGGGGAAAAGCCAGCCCCATTCTTCCTACCTCCACAACATTGGACTGACCACGGATTATTTTAAGAGCAGAGCTGGTTTCTGTCACTTCAAGAAGTGCTGAACAAGTAGACTGTGGGATAATGTTTTTTTACGGCTATACTTTGTGGGCCCTTAGATTGCGAAAGTACTCATTACAGGAATTTATTTTATTATCTTTACTAAAATTTAAGTAAAAATAAAGGTGTTTGCTATGATAAGTAAAAATATCCAAAGTTGTATAGGGTTACTCTTTCCCTTCATGGTCCATCCCCACATCCTGGAGAACACGAGTGTTACTAATCTGTAGTAATTCCTGTTGCATCAAACTGATTGCTCATGGAAATACACACACATATATGATAGTTTTAGTTTTTTTAAAAAAATGTGCTCATGGTATATACATTACTCTGAAACTTGTTCTGTCACTTAAAAATCTTGTAAAGATGCCCCTTGGGGGCCATAAAGGACAAGTTTACTCGGTGTTCATAGCTGTATAATATTCTAAATGTGGATATTTTGAACTTTATTTACCTCCTTCATATTCATGAACATTTTGGGTTATTTTCCTTTTTAAGCCTCTATAAACAGTACATAATAAACAACATGACACATTTTTAAAAAGATTTTATGTATTTATTTGAGAGAGAGAGCATGAGCAGGGGGCAGGGTTAGGGGAGAGAGACCAGCAGATTCCCCACTGAGCAGGGAACCTGACAAGGGACTCCATCCCAGGACCCTGAGATCATGACCTGAGCTGAAGTCAGACACTGAAGCGACTGAGCCACCCAGGCTCCCCACAACATGGCATATCATAAGCTTAAATACTTGTTTTCTTATTTCAATAGGGATGGTCTGCGAAATGGGAACTCTAGGTCAGAGGTTATTGTGTTTTTAATGCTTTAAATATTGCCAGGTTGCTTCCCAGAATGTTATAACAGTTCACATTCCCATTTTTTCTATGTCCTCCCCAGGAGAGTGAAAATGGTATTTCACTGCTTTCAATTGTGTTTTGCTGCTTAATAGTGAGATTTTTCAATTTTCAGATGTTTGTGTTTCTTCCTCTCTGACTTGCCTGTTCATATACTTTATCTATTCTTTTTCCTTGTCGAATAGTTGAAGAGTCTGCGTTGACGCCACACAGACTCAGAAGTCAGGCTTCCATTTATTGTGTTGAACTCTTTTTTTTTTTTTGCTTATACAACAAAAATTTATTGTCCCACAGTTCTGGAGGCTAGAAGTACAGGATCAAGTTGTGGCTGTTTGTCCCTCTCAGATTTGTCCCTATCAAATCTGTCAAAGATAAAAGATCTTGTGGTTTGCAGGCAATCTTGGGTGTTTTATTGGCTTGTAGATCTCTTCCTCCATCTTTTTTAAAAAATTTTTTCTAATTGTGTTGAATTCTTTTTTTTTTTTTTTAAATTTAAGATTTTATTTCTTTATTTGACAGACAGAGATCACAAGTAGGCAGAAAGGCAGGCAGAGAGAGAGGGGGGAAGCAGGCTCCCTGCCGAGCAGAGAGTCCGATGCGGAGCTCGATCCCAGGACCCTGGAATCATGACCTGAGCCGAAGGCAGTGGCCTTAACCCACTGAGCCACCCAGGTGCCCCTATTGTGTTGAATTCTTAAGCAAAGTATTTATCCCTTGTGGCTCAGTTTCTCCTCTTCTGTCTTTCTTTCTTTTTTTTTTTTTTTTAAGATTTTATTTATTTATTTGACAGAGATCACAAGTAGGCAGAGAGGCAGGCAGAGAAAGAGGGGGAAGCAGGCTCCCCACTGAGCAGAGAGCCCAATGCGGGGCTCGATCCCAGGACCCTGAGACCACGACCAGAGCCAAAGGCAGAGGTTCAACTACTGAACCACCACCCAGGCGCCCCATCGGTGTCTCCTTTTCTAAACAAGGATCATACTAGGACCCGCCCCCCAAGGTTGTACAAGTTTTACATGTGCATTTGGGATATTAGCATGGAGATACTGGCTCTTATGAATATATATTTGCTTTTTATCATTGTGACCCTTCCAGATAATTGTTACTCCCTGGCTCTGGGGCAAAGCCCTGCCTTTCCTGAGCCACATTTTCTTTCTGCCTATGTTTTACTTGGTGATTCCTTCAAACACTATTTCTCAGGCGTCCCCTCTGTTTAATGCATTTGTTGTAAGCCTTGGGAGGAATGGGAGGAACTTTTAAGGAGCTTTGAGTTTACTTTTAATCAGTGACATAGTGGAGCTGTCAATGTATCTAAGGTAGATGATAGGCTTTTAGGTCATTTTTGCTTCTGACGTTGTCCCTTCTTTCCCATTAAATGGATTCTCTAGTGAAGAATCTGTCCCTTGGATATTAGTGGCAACATCAGGATGCTTTGAGTCTATTTTGGCTAGTTTTTGTTTTTTTTTTTTCCTTTTAATATGTCTGCATCCCTGGTTGTCCTCTATTGTACGGACCTCATAGCAGTCATCTGTGCTGTGTTCATTTCTGATCTCAGATACAGTCAGCTTTGACAACAAGCATCTTTGAGAAACCCTCTAGGAACTGTATCTGCGTTAAGAATCCATCACTCTGTTGTAGTGTCTGAGATCACAGGATCTGCCTTTGTTGAAGACTCGAGCAGGAATTCAGAAGTAGAATGCATGACTGGTGGTGGTGGCTTGCAGCACCTAGTACTGACATTTTTGGTAGGAAACATCATGGGTTGTATACAAAGTAGAGCAAATTCTTTGGGTTCAGCTAAGTATATTCTGCACGCACATGTTCGGCTCTTTTGATGTGAGAAGTTAGGAGCAGTGATTGGCAAGATGGAGTCAAAAAGTTGTCCTGTCCCGTGTGTGGAGAGAGCCTGCGTCAGCTCATATGGAACGATTTGTGGGAATGTTGGAATGCTCACCTCTAGAAGCCTTAAAGCTCCCACTGAGAAGATCAAGATAAACTTTGCTGTGCGAAGAGACTCTATCCGTGATCTTATTCAACATTTTTACTTAGAAATGGAAGTGGAGTTCAGAGAGGTTAAGCGGCTTGCTCACGTTCACATAGGTAGGTGACAAGGGAGCTAGAACTAGGACACAGTTTCTTAGTTGGTATTCTGGTGGTCCTTTCATTTTGCTAGACAGAGACAGGTGGTTTTCAGATCTGGTCGTGGTAGAGTTTGGGTCATTGCTGAGAACCAACCTCTTGTGACAGTTTCATGACTGAGAATTTTAGGAAGCTGCTCAGTTTCTCATGAGCTGAGATCCAGCAATATAATTAATAGATCAAGTTCAGCCACCAGCAGAGAGGACAGGACACCCTCCCCACTGATGCCGCAGTGGCTGTCACTGCGGCATCACATGCTGAGATGTGAGTCGGTCTGTGGGGCTAGAACAGGTCAGTGAGGCATCCTATTCCGAATCTGTGGACTTAACCATGGAGATTGAGGGTAATAGGAACAGGACACAGATTTAGAGGCACCGAGTGTGAAAAGTAATGTGGTTGGCAATGACTTTCATCTTGTGAATGTCTTCGAAATGTCTTTCTGTTCCCAAATTCCACTTCTCCAGCTCCTGTCTCTGCCTCCCTTTGTCCCACTTCCTCTGTGGCTTCTCTTCTCACCATCCCTTCAGTGTCGGGGCCCCAGGGCTTCTGTCTTCAAACCCCTTCAAATTCTCCCCCAGGGAATTTTAGCCACTCTGAGGCTTCTCTGTCCCCACCTCTAGACTGATGTTCTCCAAGTCTGTAATTTCAGCCTTCCTCCCTGCCTCATGCTTATGTGCCATTTCTCTGTCCACAGGCATTTATTTCCGTGCTTGGTCACCTCCACAAACCCCTTCCTCCTGACTTAGCGATCTCAGTTAATGGCTACCCACGTGAGGACTAGGCTTTGTTATAGGTGGGCTCTGCTGTGGGGTGGGGGGAGGCAGCTGTGATAAAGAGCCCATTTGGGCCTCTTGGCCTTAACCCTTATAACCCACTGCCTCAGTCCTGCCCAAGGGGTTCTTTTAAAATGCAGAATCTGGTTATTTTATTCCTTTGCTTAAAAATAGTGCATTTGGATTTTGTGGTTTCTGAAGAAGATCTACAGTCCCCAACCTACAAATCCCAGATTCATTTCTCTTTACTTTCCCCGTCATGCCCCAGCATTCAGTCGTAATAAATGACTTAACCATTGCTCAGGGGAGACTGTAGCTTTGTACCTGCAGGAACCTCCTCCCACAACTCCCTTCTTTCCTGCCAGATGTTCTTGGATTTCAAGGTGGGCCTTCTTCTGGAAACTCTTCCCTCACTGCCATCCCCTGGGCCAGGTTAGCACTCACTGTGCCGTATGCTATCTCTGCCATTCTTATCGCCTGTTTATAATCTGTCTTCTTTGCTAGTATTCCTTGGGGATAGGTGCTGTGTTGCATTCATGTTTGTGTCCCTAGTGCCTGACACATAAGAGGTTCTCAGTAAGTCTTTATTTGAATGGATCAGCAGTGCCCCCTCCTGCCTGCCATAGACACCGATGGCAGTCATTCAAGATCTGTCAGTTTCTCTATCCCACCATTCAAAACATACTCCCTTCTGGGCTTATACCTCAGTCTTTGGTGGACCCAAAATTCTTTCTGCCATCTGGGCTCATTTCCATTCTTTGTCTATCTGTGCTGTGCAGCCTTTTCATTCAGCCCCAAATGCTCGTGTTTTCCTAAATTTTGTGCTTCAGAGCCACCCCTTTATTCAGAGACTGTCTCCTCTTCCTTTGCTTTACGGAGCCTTTCGTGATAGTAATGCTTAATTATTCTCTTCCGCTTTCTTTGATTGTTTTTGACCCTCTAGGATCAGGTCTTCTCGTGTGCTGCCCACTTGATAGTCTGTCCCTGTTCCTTGATGTGCCGTTGACTCTCCAGAACGAGAGTGGAGTTGTCTGGTGGCCTCGCTCTTCCCGATGGGACAGATATGTTCAAACACCTCTGTAAGAAGAGGGTTTTTTTAAATGTGATTTTTTAATTTTTTGTTTCTCTTGTTGTCAGAGTACCAGAGAAGCAGAAATCAAACTGAAAAGTGAAAGCAGAGTTAAACTTTTTTACTTGGACCCAGATGCCCAGGTACGAACTATTTTTTAATGTTCACATTTGAAAACTAAGCCAGGGAAAGAAAATGTTTGACAGATGATATGTTTCATTTATTTATGTGTTTGCATGTTTGTTTACTTTGGATTTATAAGCAACATAACAACAATATAGAAAATTCAGGGGAAAAGGAAAAATAAAAAACAACCATAATCTCATCACCATACCACAATGACTGTGAGTGTTTCATATTTAGTAGATTGTTGAAAACTGAGCGATCTATCCAGGATGTCCTCGAGTCCACAAAGAACATATAATTTACCCCATAAAATGACCATCAGAAAATAATAAGCATCAATGCAGATTCCCTGCAGGCAGTGGTGTTTCCTGACTCGTCCAAGGCACATACGAGCCACATCTGTGCCCCCAAAAGTCCGAACCCGGCGTGGTAAGGACCTCCAGAGCTGCCCCCAGGGCATGACGGTTCTGCTGTATTTTTCCCCCTTTTGTTTGCAGTCTTCGTGTCTGGATTATTGAGCGTGGTGTTTTTCAAGGTCCATCCATATTGTAGCGTGTGTCAGAATTTCCTTCCTTTTTAGGGCTAATACTCCACAGTATGGGCAATATACCAGATTTTGTTTATTTATTTGTTGATGGACACCTAAGTTGTTCATAACCATAATTTCTAAGCTCTGTATAATAACCCATTGAGTAGGCATACCATCATTTATCTAATCATTATTATAAGCTATATAAACTTACAAAACAGTAACACTGTTATGATTAAATGAGTGTATATATACATATATCTTTTCCATATTTTACAGCATTTCCTTAGGATGTGTTTATTAGGGGTTTTTTTTAATGTGAGCATAATATATTTTTGTACATTTTCTTTTAAAGAAGCTTGACTTCACATCAGCTGAACCCGAAGTGAAGCCATTTGAAGAGAAGTTTGGGAAGAGAATTCTTGTCAAATGCAATGATTTATCTTTCAATTTACAATGCTGTGTTGCAGAAAATGAAGAAGGACCCACCACAAATGTAATTTTCCCTTTAAAAAAATTTTTTTTTTATTTCTTAAAGATTTTTATTTACTTATTTGATAGACAGAGATCACAAGTAGGCAGAGAGGCAGGCAGAGAGAGAGGAAGGGAAGCAGGCTTCCCACTGAGCAGAGACCCCGATGCGGGGCTTGATCCTAGGACCCTGGGATCATGACCCAAGCCGAAGGCAGAGGCTTTAACCCACTGAGCCACCTAGGTGCCCCTGTAATTTTCCCTTTTAAAAAATAATTTACAAAACTGTTCAGAGGTCACCAATGTGCCGATTGCAGTGTGGTCTGGACCGAAAATCCTAGTTCCTGATGGAGAAATGCAGTGTTTAGGTCAGGATGCCGGGGGTTGTTCAGCCTCAGAGACGGGATGTTTGTGACAAAAGATAGGGACGGAGACTTTCTCTTTGACAGTGATTTATAGCAGCCCTTACAAATAGGTTGAATAATTTCTTCTTCGATAGCAACCCTCTTTTCCCCCGACAGTTGGAGCCATAGTGATGGTCTGGATGGTTTTGTTTCGTTCAGGTAGAGCCCTTCTTTGTTACTCTGTCCCTGTTTGACATAAAATACAACCGAAAGATTTCTGCCGATTTCCACGTGGACCTGAACCATTTCTCCGTGAGGCAGATGCTGGCCCCCACGTGCCCGGCTGTGATGAACGGTGGCAGGCAGAGCTCGCCTACCCTTCAGGACATCCTTCATGAAGCCTCCATGCAGTATCCGAAGCAGGTGGGGGACTCGCGCCCAGCAGTGGTCCTGCTGCGACTTATTTCGCACGTGCTGTGTGAATGCGTGGCAAGACACTGCAGTGCACAGCTGGGTCGAACGAGACTGTGGAGTTTATTGACTGCATATATGATTAGCTGAGAGGACAAGAAATGGCATTTGGCTTGTCATTTCTTTTTTTCTAAACTTTCTGCTAGTTGCTCCCCCACCCGCCATATTGCCTTTTTTTAATTTAATTTTTTTTTTTTTACTGGGTGGGGGGAGAGCACAAGCAAGGGGAGCAGCAGGCAGAGGGAGAGGGAGCAGCAGGCCCCTTCTCGCAGCAGGGGGCCCGATGCGGGCCTTGATCCCAGGACCCCGGGATCATGACCTGAGCCCAAGACAGATGCTTCACCGACCGAGCCCCTCAGGCGTCCTGCCAAATCGCCTCTTTGGTAGGACGATGACCTAGTGACAAGCACCGGGTGCCCCTAAGGGGCTGTACTGTGTCCGCACTCTTTGCTGCTTTAGCAGGTTTAACGTTCAGGGGCTTTGTTTAACGTGGCTGTGACTTGGACCCACTAAAGAAAATCATTTGTTCCCTAGGGGATATTCTCAGTCACATGTCCTCACCCTGATATATTCCTCGTGGCTAGAATTGAGAAAGTGCTCCAGGGCAGCATCACGCACGGCGCCGAGCCATACATGAAAAGTTCAGACTCTTCCAAGGTACGGCTGACTTTTACGCTTTGTGATGATGAAGAGCAATTAGAAAAAAGGTCTGTCTGTCAAAACAGAAATGCTTAAAGAAATCAGAGTTGGGCTGTATTTATATTCTGGAAGATGTACTTACTTACATAGATTTACTTACATAGATTTACTATTCCACCTAACCTGGTGTGTCCAGTTTTCAGTGAAAAGTAGTCCCGTATGTATATAAAATGTTTCAGTTGCCCAGACATCCTAAAATAATTGCCAAAGCTGTTGATGTGTCTCTTGGATTCTGGAATTCCCTTTGGGTCCGTTTATGCTGAAATGTACATGGAGGCTGCACATGGGAAGGGTCTGGCGCAGGTGGTCTGGCCAGTAAGGTCAGTGCTTCAGTCCCCTGTATGGTCCCATGGGACAGGTTATGGTGGCAGAGGTGGTGTGACTCCCATAGCAGAGGGAAGGGAAACATGCAAGATGTGTTTTTGGTGTTTTTCCTTTCTTTGGTGTATGCTTCTTAGTTGGGGAGTGCCTTGCTGTGGACACATGCAGACTTGAATCTCAGAGGTTATCTAGTCCCAGATCTCCTTTCAGGCATCAGAAAACTGGGGTTTACCAAGGTTTAGTTACATGCTCAGTGTCCCACAGCTCTTGTGACCAAAGGCACTTGCTTGTCACCTTCTAGCACATCGAGCTTCCTAGTAGAGTGGGCATTTGAGTGCCATCTGTGCTGGTCTGACATTAATTTTTACAAGTGGTCCGTCTGAGAGATGACCCTGCTCTGTTGTCAAGGACTGGTCCGCAGCAGGAGGGGACACTCCCCTGGCTCTGAAGGACAATGATCGAGCTGCTTCAGAGCTTCCCCTCTTCCTGTCTGCGGCACCCCCCACAGCACAGGGGTGTCCCCAGGATGGAGGGCGGTTGTTAAAGAGCAGGTTCTAGGAGTCAGAGACCTGGGTCCTGAGTGCTAACAAGGCTGGCTGCTTTGGAGAAGTTGTGTCACCTCTCTGGGCTCTGGTGAGCCATCTGTACTTGAAGGATGATACTGCTTCCCGCTCAGGTCGCTCTCAGGAACAGTTCTGGGACTGCGCAGATAACATATGAGACATCGCCGGCGAGGCTGCAGATCAGTGACATGCACTGGAGACCATTATCACTTGTCACCCTCAGCCAGGGAAAGCCCAGCTTCCCAGGCACACTGCTTCCAACAGTATGCCTTTCTGGCTGATGAAAGCTGAGTAAAGTTTAGTCCCTGGAAAGAAGCTACTTTATTTTTTAGATCAAGTTTGTAAAACCTTGCATGAGAAGCTCTTTTAGCTCCTGTGTTTGTTTGTTTTTTTATTATGTTACAGTACATCATTAGTTTTTGATGTCTTGTTCCATGATTCAGTGTTTGCGTAGAACACCCAGTGCTCCATGCCACCTGTGCCCTTCTTGATATCCACGACCGGACTCACCCATCCCCTCACCCCCTATACCTTCTGAAACCCTCAGTTTGTTTCCCGGAGTCCACGGTCTCTCGTGGTTCCTCTCCCCCTTTGACTTCCCCCGCTTCATTTTTCCCTTCCTTCCCCTAATGTCCTCCATGCTCTGTTTTGGTTAATAACCAGTGAAGGCCCAAGTAAGGTCTACGTCCCTGTGTATGTAACTCATTTCCAGGGCCTACATGCACCATCTTTGCTCTTCTGCCTGCCACGTGCACAGTTTGAAATTTGGCAGCTCATGTTCCTGCAAAATCACATTTCCCTTTGGGCTCAACTTTATGCTCTACTCATGCTTCCCAGTGTCCGTTGAGCATCTGTGCAAGTCTGCTCTTCCTTCTTTACTTACGGAACGGAAAGCTCAGCCATGTGTGCATTATTCCACGCATTCACACCTCCGAAGTATTAAGGCAGAGATTAACATTTTATATCAGAATAGATTTTATATCAACCATTTTATATCTGTTTTATATCAGCCATTTTTTATCAGAATAAAAGTTTTGGCAGAGATATTACTGAGGGATGGCTTTCTAATGTGTATCAAAATTACTTCTTCCTGTTTTCCAAGATGGTCTGGAACATCATTTAGATTAAATTTTGTCTTGGAGGAGGAAACTTTTATGGAAAGTCTCCGTAGGTGTCCGCCATGAATAGATTAAAAAAGAAGAAGGAAGAAAAAGAAAGAAAGAAAGGAAGGAAGAGAGGGAGGAGGGGAGGGAAAGGAGGGAGGGTAGGAAAGGGAGGGAGGGAGGGAGGAAGAAAACCCTAGAGGGCAGAAATGAGTTTTTCAGTCTTTTGCATACCTCATGTTCCATTTGCACCCCCAGTAAGTCTGTGAGCTCAGACCCTGTTTGCTGCAGGGAACAGTGAAACTTACTTGAAGCCTATGTTTTAGCTTTAAATTTTATGCAAATATTACATTTTACCTCACAGCATAGTCCGTATTATTAGAACCTAAAAATGATAGTTTCTATCCGAAAATGTTTGAGTGAAATTACCCCTCCAGGAAGGTAGGCCGTTTTACCTATGGCTGTGTACCCCAGATCCCCACAAGAACATGCCCAACTGGAAGAAGGGGAGGAGCTGGGTGAGCTATGGGCGTGTTTCAATCAAGACACGTTTCTAATTCACTCGTGAGGGCAACGATTCCCACCACACAGTTGTGGTGGAATCATGATGTCTGGTAACTGGAAGGGGTAATGAAAAGTATTATGGCTCATGCCCTTCTGTCTTGAGGTGGGGAAAGTGGAGCCCAGAGAGGTTTAATGGTCTGGGGTCCCACAGCAGGTTTCAGTTTGACTTCGAGACAAACCGCTCTTTCTCCTTCTCATCTAGAAGATGAGCACTCATCAGAGCTGGTGCGCACAGATCCCGGGGGTCTGCTCAGAATGCAGGTTCTGACCTGGCAGGTCTGCGGTGGGGCCCGAGACTCTGCATTCCTGGCAAGCTCCCTGGTCATGCCGAGGCTGTAGCTCCGCAGTGCACACCTTGGTTCACAGGCTCTAGATCTCGACTCCCACGACTGCTTTGACTGTGGTGTGGATCAGTGCTGTAAAAGGCCCTCGAATGTGCCACCGTGACCGAGTCAGACTTGGCGTTGGTCGCTGTGCTGTGTCCAAGACGAGCAGACTTGGGGGAAGGTCATCTGCTTGAGCTTGCGCAGCAGGGGTGGAGTTGATTCGTTGGCCTGCCATGCATACGTCTTAGGCCGAAGCGAATCTGCTTCACCGTGCACCACAGAGTTAATAAGTCAGCCCACAACAAATGAAAACTGATCCTTACGGAGTGAAAATAGCAGTAATTTATACTTAGAAACTGAGACTCTAACAATGAAAAACTCTGGTCTCACTTAATTCAGCACCTGTAATGTCTTATATAATGAGTATCTGTCCCCCCAGATTGTGGGAATTTGCGCAGGCCAGTGCACATCAGAGTTCTCATTTCAACTTTAATTAACATGATATATTTTGGTGTGAATACCAAGTATTAGCAATTGTTAATAACCCAGTGGACTTATAAGTAGCCATAAGTTCTTCATAAAGAACTATGAAAGCCTATGAAATGGTATGCTTGTGGCCCATAAAAACATTTTAGAAAAGACATAACATTTTAGAAACAGTCCTCATTCTTTGAAAATCACTGCTAACGACTGCATTAAACAGAATGCTCTGGACCTCGTATAAATCCAGCCATATTCATTAGCCATCACTGTGCTTTTCCAAGCATCTGGTACTCTGATAAGAGCTTGTTTAATGAACATGGGATGATGGCTCTTTAAACCACAGTCCTGGCAGTGGGATGCAGCGTCTCATGGCTTGATTCTGATGTCTTCAAGGTTGCTCAGAAAGTGCTGAAGAATGCCAAGCAGGCATGCCAAAGACTAGGCCAGTACAGAATGCCATTTGCGTGGGCAGCAAGGTAAGGACAACATCTTCTGTACGTTTGATATAGATACAGATATATGAAGAGAGGTATATAGATCGATAGGTCTATTCTGTTTATTGTTAAGAGACAAAGAGGATTTAAATGTGTAAAACTGAAAAATACAAAAGCCCCCTCCCTATCTGAACAATCCCTTAGTGGAGTTGCAGAGAGGAAAGGTGCTGGCTGGAGGAGAGCTGTGTGGGGACCGGTATCCCGGGCTCCCTCCACATGTCCAGAGGTCCCTTCACATGTCCCTCCACATGGGCAGCGGCCCAGGCGGAGGGAAGGGAGTGGGCTGTTGTGGCGGGGCGGGGTGGGGGGTGGTCCCTGCAGATCATCCTTAATTGTGAGCTCTGCTTCTGAAGCATTTCACTGTGTATGTTGTTCCCTAAGCACGAGCCATATGCTGGAAATGTTTTCTATGTAAATTGAGTTAGTTGTGTTCCTCCTCATAAATGTCTTCCGTGTTTTTAGATAATGAGATTTCTGTTAGCTACATACAGCCAATGGAATAATAATTGGTCTTCACGTGGAAACCAAAGTTAAGTTGTGGATTTATTTTGGCCTTTTGGAAACTCACTTTAGAAATGTTGTTTGGCTATTTCAGGACGTTGTTTAAGGATGCATCTGGAAACCTTGACAAAAATGCCAGATTCTCTGCTCTTTACAGGCAAGATAGCAATAAGCTCTCCAATGATGACATGCTCAAGTTACTGGCAGACTTCCGGAAGTGAGTCTCAAAGCCTTTCTTGTTATTTGCACACCTGAGGGACAGAAGGTGTTTGGTGGGGATGGGGCGTGGGCTCTGCTTGAACATCATAGGGCCAGTTGGGGGAGCGTGGAACTTTGCCTCGTGTCCTTGGGAAGGAAGAAGAGATTTAAAATTGAAGGGTATCCTGGTTAATTTGAATTCTTCAAATGATGTTTTTGGTGGTGCTGTGGAGGGTGGTGTGAGGATAGAGATGAGCCTTCAGAGGAAGGAGACAGTGGAGGGACCACTGGCAGGAGATGGGAAAGGACTTGGCAAAGCTAGGATAAGTGGCAGAGGGAGAAGGGGACTAATTGGGGTCACATCAGGGGACCCACCATTCCTCTGTCTGGGATTTCCGATTGGGTGAAGGGTGGAAGGAGAGAGCAGTGGACAGGTAGCGGTCTCAGATAAATAACCCCCAGGTTTCCGACCTGCACAATGGAGTGACTCAGGTACCATTACCTGAATGGGCGATGGAAGGGAAGGACAGTACCCTACATAGTGCTTCCTGATTACAAGCATTGTTTCAGTGCTTTACCTATACCCATGAGTGTGTGCGTTTCCTAGAGCTGCCAAAACAAAGTGCCACAGACTGGGTGGCTTAAACCCACGGAAATGTCTTCCCTCGCAGTTCTGGAGGCTAGAATTCCAAAACCAAGACATTGGCAGGCCTGCACTTGCTCCAAAATCTGTGGGGGGAGGATCCTTCCTTGGTTCCTTCATCTCTGATGACCCCAGGCATTCCTCGGCTTGTGACGGCATCCGTCCAGTGACTGCCTCAGGCTCCCCGTGGATGCCTTCCTGTGCGTTTCTGGTGTGGTGCCCTTCTTCTAAAGGAATGTGTCATGCTGGATTAGGGCCACCCGCAGCGACTTCATCTTCTCTTGATTACGTCTGGAAAGACCCTGCATCCATAGGTACCAGGGGTTAGGACTTTAGCAGATGTGTTTGGGGATGCCGTTCAGCCCACAGCAAGGTGGAGAAGAGAGGCCAAGTAGTGGCTGGCGCAGCCCGGCTGAGAATCTTCTATCACGGCGCTGTTTAGTGTTCCATCATAATGGGTTCACTTTGAAACTCACAAAACTGATTTCCTTTGCTAAGGACATTTCCTTTGCTAGGGACATAAAAACTTCAGACGTTTTCTGGGAAAATTCTGTGAATGAGAATGAACTGAGGGTATTAAAAAATAATGAAATGAAAAGAATGGCCAAGAGCCAGCCTCTAGTTATTCTGTACCATAGGACCTTTACCATCTTAGTTTTTTATTTGGGGGGAAAAAAACCCCACGTGTCAAAGTAAAAATGTCACTTTGCTTAGAACTCAGGACTGGCTGTTAGAAGTTCATTTTTGCCTTATTCTTACTTCTCTTCCTTCTGATTTTTCAAAATTCTAAATAGAACCGTAATTAGCATCTCTTAAAAATGATTACTTACTCATAGTGAGTGTTATCATATACAACATGTCATCAAATAGTAATTATTGTCACGTTTCTCCCTTGCTTGTAGAACAAAAAGTCATCTTACTTTGTTTCGCTTTTTGAAAACTTTAGTCACTTTTAGTTAAATAGATGACAGTTTTCTTGCACTGGACTATCATGCAGTTCTTAATAATCACGACGTCGGTCCAAATGTAATCACTTAGGAAGGTGTACACACTATATTGTTAAGGAAGTGAAAGTGTATCTGTGACCTCATTTTTGAGAAGAAAATATTTTATATATTTCTTTTTGTGTATAAATGAAGAAATGGATAGGCAAATAGCCAGCCAGATGGAAAGAGAGGGATATACACCAAAATGGTGGTCATGGTTGTCGCTGAGGGATGGCTGTATAGGTGGCTTTTCTCTTCTACCTTATGGCTTTCCGTGATTTTACTTGGGCTTTTTTTTTTTTTTTAACTTTTATTTTCATATTCTGACAAACAAACAATGGAGTTTTTTATGTGTAATGGAGGTTAGAAGCCCTATCAGAAGTTACGTCCTACACTGACTAGCTTGAGATGGCTCTGGCTGGTGGTGGTGCTTTGATGGTAGTCCCAGCTCACAGTTCTGGTCCTCAGTGGAGGCCCAGGGGTAGGACCCTATGGGGTCTTTAATGAAAGAATGATCTGAGCCAAGAGGCCATGGCCAGGCAGCAAACAGCATAGGCCTTCCCTGGTTCAGAGCCCAGCAGTGTTCTCCCCGGCACTCCGGGCCTTCATGGGCGTGCTCACGAGGAAGGCTCTTGTGGGAGGAGCATGGCCAGTGAGAGACTCAGAAACTGGCAAATAGGGGTGTGATGCTATCAGCATCCGAAGGTGCAGCTGTCATGGGGGGGCTTTGTCTTTCCTTCACAGCAAGAATCCGGAGAAATGCCCATGTCCATTCCCTCTGGTTTCCACAGTGGAATTAGGGAACTGGAGGTTTCCTTTTTTTTTTTTTTTTTTTCCTTTTTTTTTTTTTTTTTTTTAACCTTAGTATTGCTCTTTTCCTTTCCTATTTATTTATTTATTTTTACAAAGAATAATCCTGTGTCACTGGCCTGGGCACTAGCTTGGATGCAAAGCTATTGTTTCTGTTCCCATGATTGTCTCAAAGTGTCATTATTAAATGGATGGGAAAAATTTTCTCAAGCTGCCCCAGTCTTTAGAAAACAGCTGTCAAATCTCATAAGCCACTTCCCCCTTCCCCTCCCAGTAATTACCAAGGGCTGTGTTCCAAGATTTAGTAAGAAAATGATTCTGTCAGATAAATGGTATTGCTGACATATATGCTTCCAGAAATATTTGTCTAAGAAGAAACACTTGGTATTTTATAATTGACTTGCTCATGGTGGTGCCTTTTCTAACTTCTGCAGGAAATCTGAAGGCATGAAGGTAAAGTATAAAAATAGAACATTCCTTTTTAAATGTAAACTTTTTTTTTTTTTCCTAGTGCGAAAAGGTGTTTTTATTAAAGCACAGAGACAGGGCTGTGGGCAAGAAGAGCTGCCTAAGTATAAACCTTAGTTAATACTACCATATTGGGTAGTTTAGTTAATAATGTTATTAGGGTTTGTGCATGAGACTTCATATATGTCTTCATCTGTACCTTTGTGTGCTTCGTGTCCAAATTTGACATTCTGACCTCCATTTCCCTCTGGTGACACTGCGCTCAAGCCAGGTAGGGCTACTTGCCTTTCTCTTAAGTGACTGGGCACTTTCACCCCACCACGCTTTGCCCTCTGCCTAAATCATGTTCTCTTCCACTTTGGATCTCCGAGGGACCCCTACTCCTCTTTCAGAGTCCAGTCTGTAACTCATGTCCATGTCGGGGGACCTGGGGCAGGTCATGCACCTTCTCAGCTTGAATCTCCTCTTCTTTTTAAGGGGGAACCCTCATAGTCCTTGTAATCCTACAGCTGTGGGGGGAATAAAGGAAAACGGATGGCAGGGTGATTTCCCTCACCGAGAAGACTCACCTCGTCCCTTTCCTTCTCAGTACACTAGACACTGGCCTTCCCATGGAGGTTTGCACACACTGGATGGAAGTGCTTCTTAACATGTCTTATTGAGGACGGGAATCATCATTCCGTGTTTGTGTTCTGTCTGTGATGCTCAGTTGAGCATGTGTTGTACCACCGTAAGCACTTGGTAAACGGTTTTTGAACTATCTCATAGACATCAGTTCAGTGATTTCTTTTCAACAAAAACATCTCAAATTTCTTTCAATGGCATATACATTTTTTAAGTGACTCCAAAGCTTTTAGGGACTACAGGAGACCCAAGCACACCTGTATTGCTGGTCAGTCACTTTAATGGGTCAGGACAGACAGTAGAGAAGGGGGAACCAGGCAGCGGAAACACAGGTGAGGACACCCAGCCTGTTGGCATGGGATGACTGCTGGTTTGTAATACTCTCCCTGCCTCTGGGGATTGTCGAGCAGTTGTATGGGCAATGGGAAGAGAAAAAAAGAGTGAGAATGAGCCTCATTCCTAACTTCATATGTATACAAAAGCAGTTCCCAAATTCCAGATACCCTACATGTGTCTACTGTATACATTTTTTAAATGAAGTTTTAGGATGGGTTTTCCTGCTCAAGTATTTTAAGTTTTACATGGAATATATATATACTTTACAGATTTAAACAAAATCTAATCCCAGTCACAAGAGAATCCGCTTTGTGTAACACCCACAGACCCACCACCACCACTTTGCAAATGCATGTAAAAAAGCCAGTAGAATTTCTGTTGTTTGTAGGTTTTGATGTCTGATAAGCCACGTTCAATAAAACCCCTAAACTTCTGAAGTAAGTTGAACATTATATTTAAAAAACTAAGCTTCCACAAAGCCCATGTGCCGTGTGGTGTGGAACAAAGCTCAGATCTGTGCTTTCTTGGAAATGCGTGGACATAATGCCTCTGTAGAACTAGCAGCCAGAAGCAGAAGCTCTCGGCAGAGGGAAGAAACCAAATGAGGAATAAGTATAGTCAGACAGAGAAGGAAATAACACATTATACAGAGAGTTCCAGCAAAGATTGTTGAATTAAAATTTGTTGCTTAGCAATCCAGTTATCACAAGTTCATATGAGGATGATGTCAGAGGGATAGAATGGTGAAGACGGTACTGACCCATTTATGGGCGGAAGTAACTAGGAAGGGGTGAGAAAGACGACATCCCTGAATACTCATATTTGGAATATTCTTTGTAATAAACAGAGTACTTGTGACTCGAGGACGCAGCTACAGCTTCAGCGGTATCTCTGAGATTTTGTGGGATGCCGTGTGTTGTGGTATGTGGGCAGCGTTGAGTTGTTTGGAGGAAGAGGTGGAGCAAGGCAGTATATGTCAGGAAAATTTAACACTGCACAGAAACCCATGGGTCTCAGGGTTGGTGTCCCTTGAGGAGCTTTGTGTGAAGCTGAGAGGGGCTCCGACAGTGTATCATCTGGGGAGCATGCAGTGGGTGGGAGACCCGCGACAGCTCCCAGGAAGTTGATTGTCAAAGGCACAGTCTTCCTGCGAGTAGCAAAGAATATTGTGTTTTTGAACAAATCACACAGTGGCCACAGGGGCAAGCTGTAGGGGTGATGCCGGGCTATCCCTGGACATCTTTTGGCCAGAACTCATTTTAACTGAAGGCGGAATGTGTGGGAAGATTGTTGACTTGCCTTCCTGATCGTGATCTCTCTCAGGATTTCAAGGAATTGCTCATTTAAACTCAGATATAAACAAAAGACAAGCAGAAAGGAGAGAAACACTAGGAGAAAGTGATTCTGGAAGTTGGAGTTGGCAGTAGGCAAAGATGAATGAGCTCAGCATGGTCTGTGGTCATAAGGATAAGAATTTAAGACTGTGGGGGGCACCTGGGTGGTGCAGTCAGTAAGCATCCAGCTCTTGGTTTTTGCTCAAGTCATGATCTCAGGGCTGTGAGGTCAAGCCCTGCATCAGGCTCTGCGTTCGGCGAAGCGTCTGCTTGAGGTTCTCTCTCCCTCTCTCTCTGCCCCTCTGCTCATGCGCATGCTTTCTCCTCTCTAAAATAAATAAATAAATCATAAAAGAAAAAAAAAAAGAAAGGAAAGAATTTAAGACTGTTAGGAAGTCCTGGTGCGGGTGAACAATATCCCAGGATAGACAACACACGTTACCTGCGAGGCTCCTTACCAGGTAACAGGAGCAAGAATAGGAACTTTTCAAAAATAGGAATAAAACGAAATGCAGAATCTGTAGGCCAGTGAGCTTTGATGTTTTCTGGCAGCGTTTAAAAAGACATCATTGAACAGGTGGCTTACGAAGAACCACGAGGCAGCATTCTGTTTTCTAGGATTAAGCCATGTCATGTTGAACTAGTCGTCCTAACCACATTTCTGCTCTTCTCTTTCTAATTGGGTTGCGGAACTGATACCACAGAGGAGTGCAAAGCCTCTGACAAGTACGTATTATGCTGACGTCCTGGGAACCAGTCAGAGAAGTGTAGCATGCATGAGTGGACAGTTCCACTGCTGGAGTAACCAGATGCCAGGACGGGTGATGAGTGGGCTAGTGGTGAGCTTCTAGAGGCTTGAGAAGGAACCTGTTCTTGGCCGCATTCTGTACAGTGTCATCCTCAGTGACTTTTTGAGAATGTAACTTGCTGATGAAATTCCTTCATGACATCAAGCTACTAGGAATACCTAATACATGAGATGTTAGAATCTGGACTTAGGAGGGTTTGATCAACTAGAAATGGCTCAAATGTAAAAGAGTGCAATTTCCTCAAGGCAAAAAATCAAATCCTGTTCTGAGTTCCCAAAAAACATAATTGTATGAATTCAGGATGGAGAAAGATAGCATGATAGTAAAGCATGTGGAAAAAGATTCAGGGATTTTAGGTGATTTAAATGTAATGTACATCACCAGGGTGGTGTGACTACCACAAAATAATAGGATTTGGCTACATGAGTAGAAGCATGTATTGTTCAAAACCAGACAGCTGCTCAGTCCCCACCTGGTCAGACCTTCCTAGGCCTGCTGTGTGCAGTTTGGGCACCTTGATATAAATGGAACATTCTTCTAGGGGGAAATGACTTTGGAGGAAGGCCCAAAAGAGCTGGAAAATGGCGGACGTCAGCAAGGTGTGGTTGCTGTTTGTAGATGGTTGAAAGGTGTTACGTGGCAAAGTGTAACCAGGTCCCTTGGAGAGGGGAAGTTCCAGAGAGGCGAAGTGAGGAAGAGCAGCCTGGGTGTCAAAATGGCAGTGTCGAAGTCTCCTTCCAACTGGGAAGGGTTGATGCGGTAGGAGTTCTTGGCAGGAGCTTCACAGAGGGCTTTCTGGGACTGGACTGTTAGACCAGATACAAACACCAGCCATTTCCCTGTGCACCTACTTTGTGTCCCGCGTTTCACTGGACACGGGAGCCTAAGACGGCTTCCAGCTCTGTATTGTTACAACTCGAGCCAAGAATGGGGGTGAGGATGGAGTGGTTCACAGAGATGGTAGATCTTGCCCATATTCTTACCTAGATTTGTGCAGCCTAACATGGGAGCCACTGGCCACAGCGGACTACTGAACACGAGAAATACAGCAGCTCCAAACTGAGACGAGCTGTGAGTGTAGAACATTCTGGATTGAGAGAATTAGAATAACGTCTTATACTGATTATCTATTGAAATAGTAACACTTGGGATAAATTGGGTCAAATAAAATATCTTCTTTTTTTAAAAATTAATTTATTTAAAAATTTTTTAAATTTCTTTTCAGTGTACCAGAATTCATTGTTTTTCTTAAAACTAATTTTACCTGCTTCTTTTTACCTTTTAAGATGTGGCTTCTAGAAGGTTTAAAATTACTTTTGTGGCTCATGTTATATTTCTCTGGGAAGTGCTGCCCTAGGATTTAGGTTTTAGAGCTAACCTAACTTACAGACATGTGGTTTTTCTCTTCTTTTGCTCCTAGACCTGAGAAGATGGCAAAGCTCCCAGTGATTTTGGGCAATCTAGACATTACGATCGATAATGTTTCCTCAGACTTTCCTAGTAAGTGTAAGTTCTCTGTAACAACCAGAGAAAATGTTGCTTGACTTTTACTTCAATTTGTTTGTTTTTAATTTTCCAGATTATGTCAATTCATCGTATATCCCCATGAAGCAATTTGAAACCTGTAGTAAAACTCCAGTGACATTTGAAGTAGAGGAGTTTGTGCCCTGCATACCCAAACACACTCAGCCTTACACCATCTACAACAATCACCTTTATGTTTATCCAAAGTACTTGAAATACGACAGTCAAAAGTCTTTCGCCAAGGTGAGTGCAAAGGTCGAGGTTTCCGTTTTGGTATCAAACTCTCTCAGGTTTTGGCTTCTCCTGTTCTCTTATAAATACATATTCTGGCTTTTTGTTTCATTTTCTTTTTACTTTTTTCTTTAAATATTGCTGCAGGCCAGAAATATTGCTATTTGCGTTGAATTCAAAGATTCAGATGAGGAAGACTCTCAGCCTCTGAAGGTTTGTTTTTTTATGTATGTTTGCATTTTTCCACTTTATTTTATTTTTAAAGATTTTATTTATTTATTTGACACAGAGAGAGAAAGATCACAGGTAGGCAGAGAGGCAGACAGAGAGAGAGGGGGAAACAGGCTCCCTGCTAAGCAGAGAGCCCAATGCGGGGCTCGATCCCAGGACCCTGAGACCATGACCTGAGCCGAAAGCAGAGGCTTAACCCACTGAGCCACCCAGGCACCCCCATTTTTCCGTTTTAAAAATGGACCTGCGTGGTATTGTACAACTAAAGGAATTTAGCACATTATAATCAACAGACATAAAAATATTGTGACTTCACGGGGCGCCTGGGTGGCTCAGTGGGTTAAGCCGCTGCCTTCGGCTCAGGTCATGATCTCAGAGTCCTGGGATCGAGCCCCTCATCGGGCTCTCTGCTCTCTAGGGGAGCCTGCTTCCTCCTCTCTCTCTGCCTGCCTCTGCCTGCTTGTGATCTCTCTGTCAAATAAATAAATAAAATCTTTAAAAAAAAAAAATATTGTGACTTCACAATATTTAACCACATTGGCTGAATGTTATAGACTGTGGAGTAATTGTGTTCTTGCTCCTCATTGACTGTTTCTGTTTAATTACACTCTTTAGGGATGAAGGTTTCTTATGTATGTTCAGTTCAGTAAACATACCATGTCTTACTATGAGCCCGGCTTTGTGTGGGTGCTAAGAATTATATTAGTAAGATTGGTAACAGAAATAATAATAAAAATAGATTGATATTTATTATTATAGTAATAATAATAGTAATAAATCTTTGGTGGTGTTTACTGAATGCTTATTATAGTGCAGTCTCTGAACTTAGAGCCTTATAGGTATTAAACTCCTTTAATTCTCCTAACAGTATTTTTTAGATGAGACTAAAGCACAGAATTTAAATAAGTTGCTTTCGGCGATCCATTAGTAGAAGCACTGTGCAAACCCGGGTAGTCTGGCTCCATGTTCTTTACTATGACTATGTGGAAATGACTTTCCAAGAAGGGAAGGAGACAAAGATGCAAAGAAGAATATAATAATAGTTTTTGCCCTCAAGAAATCCACGGCTTAGGGGGAAAGGTAGTCATGGAGAAAAAGCTCCTGGCACATAGAAATGGTTTGTTGTCCAAACTGAATAATTAGTACAAAAAATGCTGAGGGGACACAGAGGATGGAATTAATCATTTCTTGATGGACACATGGGAGTTCGGTGCCCGCGGAAGGGAAGGTCATTCAGACAGAGGGATTGTATGAGTGCAGGTGTGGAGCTGTGAAAGGGACCTGTGGACAGGTTACCACAGGACAGGTGTGTGTGCTGGGGGGAGGGAGGTGGTACTGGCGGGTGGACTGGAGGGTGGGTTGGACCCAGGAGAAAGGGGGCTGAAGGCTCTGGAGTCTCCTAGGTGGAAGAAATCCACAACATGCCAGAGTTTAATTTCTGACTGTGTTCATTAAATACTGGTGTCTTTCTTTGCTAACTCTTCCTTTAGTGCATTTATGGCAGACCTGGCGGGCCCGTGTTCACAAGAAGTGCTTTTGCTGCAGTTTTACACCATCACCAAAACCCCGAATTTTATGATGAGGTAAGCGAGGAGGTTTTCAAGGGAAAATCCAGTTAACCAGTCTTAAGGAAAACTCTAAGTTCTTTGCTTAGTAAAGTAAAAAACAAGAGAAAGTGCATACTATACTGAAATTACAGTGCTAGAACTAAAGATTGGAGCATTTATTTTACATCATCTTTTCTAATTACAAACGTAACATTCACTCTAAAAACTTGGAAAATGCAGATAATAGAAAAGAAAAAGTCAAAATCTCTGCTGTTACTACCACAATTAATATTCTGACATATTTTCTTACAGATTCATACTTAAGTGTAGTTATGTTTGTCGGACCTGAGAATCTTTCTTTCTCATTATTGGGTTTCTTTATGATAGAATGATGGGGTAGGTTTCTTTATGGTAGAATGATAGGGTAGCTCATTGAAAATACCCTATGAATCTTTCTTTGAAATGTTCTATCCTGGTTTTTCATTGTGCCGTTGCTGTGTTAAGCTAATGCAGTGGTTGATGTCATGGTTTCCAGTTCTTTCTAGAATTGAAATACTAACTCTTCCTTCCGTTTCTGGTTGGTGAATGTTTTTGTCTGCTCGGGCTACTGTAACGAAATACCACAGACTGGGTGCATGGTAAACAGTGGATGTTTGCACTCACGGTCCTGGAGGCTAAAGTTGTAGGTCAGAATGCGAGCATGGCCGGGTGAGGGCCTTCTCCCTCCCAGTCACAGACTTCTCAACTGTACCCTCAAATGGTGGACAGTTGGGGGGGGTCCTCTGTTGGATCTCTTGTAAGAGCATTCATCCCACTCATGGCCTAATCACCCCAAAGACCCCACCTCCAAATACCATCACCTTGCAGGGGGGGTTAGGATTTCAACATATAAATTGGGGGGGCACACATTCAGCCTGTAACAGTGTATTGTGGATCCATTTCTTTAGCACAGTTTCTGTTCTCTCACTTCTTTAACTGCAAATGTTAGTATCAGTTCGGAAACCAAACCGACGCTTGTGCTTTGGGTGCCATGTGTGGCTGCTTTCATCAAGAATTTTCATTTTAAGATATTAAAAAGGTAGTTATTTACTTCCTTGCAGATTAAAATAGAACTGCCTACCCAGCTGCACGAAAAGCACCACTTGCTGTTCACATTCTTCCATGTCAGCTGTGATAATTCAAGTAAAGGCAGCACAAAGAAGAGGGATGTTGTCGAAACACAAGGTTTGGGATTTCATCATTACCTTGATCATTCATAACTTATGTATTAGGTTCTCAAGTTTTATTTTGATTCTGAGCCCTCATCCTCTTGAGGAATTTTTATTTTTATTTTTTTTTAGAATTTTATTAATTTGAGAGCCAGAGGGAAGAGAGAGAGTTGGGGGAGGGGGAGGGACAAGCAGGCTCCCCATTGAGCATGGAGCCCAGTACAGGACTTCCTCCCAGGACCTGTAGATCTTGACCTGAGCGGATGTCAGACGCTTACTGAGTCACCCAGGGGCTCCCCTTTTCGGAGTTTTTGATGACGTTTGTGAAGGTAGCGTATATAAATTGTTTTAAAAGATCATTTTAGAATTGTAATCCCAAAGAGGCCAAAGTACATTGTAGACAATGTTCTGTAGAGACTAGTTCAGGGCCTTAAAGATCCGGCAGCTGAGTAGCACTGACTTTCCTTCATACGTTTTCGAATACCTACAGTGAAGTTTTTTGTGCTTTGTTTCAACAGTTGGATATTCCTGGCTTCCCCTCCTGAAGGATGGAAGAGTGGTAACCAGTGAACAGCAGGTTCCCGTCTCAGCCAATCTCCCGTCTGGCTACCTTGGCTACCAGGAGCTTGGGATGGGCCGGGTATAGGACTTTAAGATTCATTTATCCCACTACTTTCAGAAAACATGAAAAATCAACGAAAGCAACAGTAACACAAAAGAGCACACAGTGTTTTTGCTGGTCCCAACATTTTGGTTTTAGTTATTCATTTTCAAGTAAGCATAGGCCGGTGGAAGGCAGTGCTCTCGAGAGCACAAATTTAGAATTACGGTTTGGGCATTGTAGAAGCCCTGAACTAGCAGCATCTCAGCAGGGCAATGGAGATGTGGAGACGCTGGATGACGTAGGAGTTTTTCACTGCAAACTGGCCATGCTCAAACAGGGATGTGTTCTGAGAGTCACGCCAAGTATTAGGAATTGTCTCTAGCTTAGAGGAAGTCAGGGTAGCCCGTTCTGATACATTTCTGATCCAGAAAAGCCTGGATTTTCTTAGATTTCTCTAATTGGTTAGTTGGTTTTGCATTTTTTAAGCCATCTTAAGTTTTATAGACTTCAGTTTTATAACAAGCTTAGGTAAGTTTTCATTTCATTTTAAATGGCTTTTAATGTTTTTCCGCATTTGAGTAGTGCCAAATTTGGGTCCATGTTATGGACAAATCATCAAAATATTCCGAAATCAGGGGAAATCATGTAAACTTCAGTTAAAATTGCTAGTCTGAACAAGAAAAAAATGGAGGTTTCAGAAATCAAAATAAGCACACATAGACGATTGGCCCTTTACCCACGTTAGGACTTCTTCTGCTGTCCTATATGCTGGATGTGCCATCTTCTGCCACCACTTTCATGGTCCTGAGCTCTGGGTTGGCTGAGTCATTGGTGAAATAGGATTCTTTCCATCTCAAATGGACAGTAATTCGACAGCCGCAACTAAGCAAAAGATAACTTGGAAAATCCAGGAAGGAGGGCAGTGTCTTTGGGGGAAGAAAGTGGGGGAAAATGAGCACTAGTTGCATCTCTGCTGTTAGCCACCCGTAACTCTTGAGTCACTGATACTGTTTGGGCCTGTGACTCCTCTTCAGACCCGTCCGTGAACATGGTGTTTAAAGCCAAGGTCGCTGATTTGTTGGGATGGTTTTTTCCCCTTCCCTATCTTTTCAGCATTATGGTCCGGAAATTAAATGGGTAGATGGAAGCAAGCCACTGCTGAAAGTTTCAACTCATCTGGTTTCCACAGTGTATACTCAGGTATGTGTTATTCCAGTAGTGTTGGCAGTGATGGCTGAATGAACGAGTTTGCACTATTTTTTGGTAAAACAAAATCCTAATTGATAATGTCATATGGATATATTTTTACTCTAGAGGTCCTTCATTAAAGAAAGTGCATTATAAGGTGCTCTTATGTACTGATATAAATGAATAATATAAGTAACATTTCTCAACAGTTTTCTTCTTTTGTTGGAGGATCTTTGAAATCTTTTTTAAAATTTACTTTTATTTTTATTTCTTTGATATTTTCATTTTTATATGATCAGTTTCATAGTTTAAATAAAACATGCATGCCGCAAGAAGCAGTTACTCCTGTTTCCACAGCATCATGCTAACAGGCTTGCTTTCTTTCTCTCCTTCCCCCCCCACCAGGATCAGCATTTACATAATTTTTTCCAGTACTGCCAGAAAACTGAATCTGGAGCCCAAGCCTTAGGGAGTGAACTTGTAAAATATCTTAAGGTATCAGGTCACTTTCTTAGTGATCCCTTTTTAATGAGTTTGGGGTAGGTTGGGTTTTCATTTTGGTGGCGAATATTGTTCTTAACCACTTGCGAACCTTGGAAGGATGCTCTCAGCTAGATACTCTCACGTTGATAGTCTGTGTGGTTTTACATGGTGGCAAGAAGTGGACTCAGAAATAGGACAACTCCAGAACACTGTATGTTAACTCTACTGGAATTAAAATTAAAAACTTAATTTAAAAAAAAAAAAGAAGAAGAAGCAAAGAAATAGGACAACTCCTGCCTTCATCCTCATCCCACATATACTGTTTTTAGGCCCAACCCAAAACACATTGTTCTCTGCATAGAAAAGCACTCACTAGCACAGGCTATCAGTTGAGTGCTCCCCAGTACAGAGCACAGTAACAGGCACATAAGAAGCAGTGGCTTTAGTCCCACCGTTAAGTAATTTCTAGTTCACTGTAGGTGATAATGTAACCTTGGAGAATGTGTGCTAAGTGGGGGAACCCCCCCAAAAAAAACCCAACCGGAAGAACCGAAAGAATGCACATACCTGCCCCCAGTGTTGTGCCGGGGTCGGGGTCTCCCAGCATCCTGGAACAGCGAGAGCAAGGTGGGGTTTATGTAGGGGAGCATTATCCAGAATGTGGTTCCATGGGAATGTTTTTTTAAAAGGAGAGCAGCTAAAAGAGCGCCCTGGGCATGAGGACAAAACATAAGAAATGTGAGAAATGGGGGCGCCTGGGTGGCTCAGTCGGTTAAGTGGTCAGCTCTTGATTTCAGGTCAGGTCACAATCTTGGGGCTCTGGGATTGAGCCTTACATCAGCCCCCATGCCCAGCGGGGAGTGGACTTGAGATGCTCCCTCTCGCTCCACCTTCCCCCCGCACGCTCGCGCTCTCTCTCAAATAAATAAATCTTTAAGAAAAAAAAATGTGAGAAATGGAATATGAGTTTGTTTGACTTCAGCAAGGAACGTGGAATGAAGAGTTCTGAAATCACTGCTTGGCCAAGTTTTCTTTCAGGTATCTCACAGAGAGCCTTAGGAGTTTAAGAAGAATCTTTGAATTAGTTTTCTGTTGCTGCTATAACAAATTACCATAAACTCAGGGGCTCCAAACAACACGAATTTATTTTCTTACACTTCCGTATGTCCGAAGTCTGACACAGGCCTCACTGGGCCCAAATCAAGGTGTTATTAACATGGCTGAGTTCCTTTCTGAAAACTCTGAGTGACTCTGTTTCCTTGTCCTTTCCCAGCTTCTGAAGGTTGCCCTCATTCCATAGCTAGTGACCTCTTCCTCCATCTCAAAGCCAACAGCGTTCCATCTCTGACCATTCTTTCCTTCGGCACGTCTCCCCCTGGCTCTCCCCTTCTGCCTCCCTCTTCTGACTTTAAGGACCCTTGTGATGACGTTGGGTCCACCTGAATAATCCAGGACAGTCCCCCTACCTTAAGGCCAGCCTTAATTCCCTTTTGCCATGTAACATATTCACAGGTTCTAGATTAGGATGTGGACATCTTTGTCCCCTATTCTGCCCACCACTGCCTTCCACTGTTCAGATAGACTTCTTCCATCCTTGTTTGGAACTGATTGGAAATTGCTTGGGGTTAGGCTCTTTAAAAAAAAAAAAAAAAAAAAGTTTTTTCCTTTATTTGAGAGAGAGAGAGAGCAAGTGAGTGTGTGCAGGGTTGGTTGTCTTAAGGTCACACAAGGGCCGTTGCATGTCCGCAGAGCCTGCATGCGATGGAAGGTCACGTGATGATCGCTTTCTTGCCCACCATCCTAAACCAGCTGTTCCGCGTCCTCACCAGAGCCACCCAGGAGGAAGTCGCCGTCAACGTGACACGGTAAGAGGCGGGTAGGCGGATGCCTCCTTCCCTTTCAGTCTGTCCACATCTGGAGCACGGTCATACATATCTGGGATGCTAGTATGTGTTGACCATTATATTTAAGAAGTTTCTTTTGATCCCATGTGTAGGGACCCCCATCTAATTCCTCGTTTCCTTGTTGGCTGTGGTGCCAGTAGCATCATCGTTGTTCTGCAGCTACTGTGTAATAATGAAATGTTCTCATTCCCACATTACTATTCATTGCTTTGTTCATTTCTGTGGTGTGTAGGGTCATTATTCATGTGGTTGCCCAGTGCCATGAGGAAGGATTGGAGAGCCACTTGAGGTCATATGTTAAGGTATGTAAAATAAACGGTCCCAGTCATGTAAATCTGTGGCTCTCCAGTTTTCCTTCTAAGGACTCATTTTTTTTTTTTAAATCTAGTTATTTTGGGATGAAACTTAATACCTCTGCTTTCTCTTCCATACCTGTAGCCAGTGCCTTGTACCTGAACGAGAGGAAATTCAAAGAGAGGCAGCCATTCATTTATTTACTTAATTTTGTTTTTCAACGTATTTCTTATAATGGATTTTGCAAATAATAATGACATGGAATTTTAAAGAAGACTTTTAAGTCGCTCTTGGTAGGCCTTTGGTACAGCCCTATTATTTTCATTTTTCTTCACAACTAAAATTTGCTGTAGAACTGTTTCTCCTGAGACGAAAAGGTTAGCGCTGGCCACGATAAATTAGAGAACTATGTGGGACAGCAAGAGATATCACTAGGAGGAATATCAATGGGTTCTTCATTTATGTAACACTATTCCATAGACAGAGTGGCGGTTACCATTCTGAAAAGTTACACATGTGGTGTTTAGTCTTAGACACCTCTATAAATTATAGCTATGGAATCAAGTCACCCAATGTCGGGTGACACATTCCTTGAAGTCCTTGGGAGGTGGAGTTGTGGGCTGGAGGACCACTGACCTGAGCCAGGTGGTACCTGTATTGTGATGGGTTCCCTGAAATTATCCTGGGCCCCCTCTGTGTGTCCCCCTTACCCCTTTCTGTTTCTAGACCTTCCTCTCCCACCCTGCACTTGTACCTCAGTCCCTCACCGCCATCCCTTGGAGCCTCTCCTGCTTTCAGCCCATCTTAGATAACCGGGACATTAAAATATCTTTCCCTTTTCTTCAAAGTATGCTTACAAGGCTGAGCCGTACATCGCCTCCGAATACAAGACAGTGCACGAAGAGCTGACGAAAGCCATGACCACGATTCTCAAGCCCTCTGCTGACTTTCTCACCAGCAACAAACTACTCAAGGTATGTTGCAGGGCTGAGCAGTGTGGCTTTCCGGCATGGAAATCGGTGAGAGAAAATCCGAACGCCGTAGCCCAATCTGCTCACCCTTCTGTGCGCGTTTACAGACTGCCACCACCTCCGGCAAAGGGGTAAAGAGTTAGTTCTTCGGGACCAACTTTGCTGCTTATACTTGTGCTTCTGTCAGACCTGCAGAGTATTACTGTATTTAAAATATCACGGGCTCTTAAGTTTTAAGAAGTCATTCATTACATGCGAATGAGTGAAGGACATGGAGGTGGCGATTATAAAGGCGGCATCGGCAGGGGAGGCTCAGTCAAGAGGAAAATCCCAGATGTAATCCAGCGGTGCCGCTTGTTGGCTTGTGCCGTGCTGAGCGTGTGCGCCGAGCTTCTAAGTGGGAGGCGGGAGAACAGCTGCCTTGCATGTACCTCTGGTCCGATGATGTTTTGCCCAGTGGTTGAGCCCTGCTTTGGGGTCACCCCTGTTTCGTGTCTGTAACATTGTCAGCCTAAGAGAGTAAACACCTTGCCTCCTGATTATTGTGTATCTCACCTGGATCCTTTTTTTTTTTTTTTTCTTCAGTATTCATGGTTTTTCTTTGACGTTTTGATAAAATCCATGGCTCAGCATTTGATAGAGAACTCCAAAGTTAAGGTATGTCACTTCCTATCAGGGCTGGGGTGGTGGCTCTTAGGGGAAAGTCTTTTCGGTGCTTTGTCGCTCACATTCATGAACGCTTTCTGTTGCCAGTTCCAGCACAGTTCTAGGTGCTTTCCAAGTATGAAAGCATTTTATTCCAAGTACTAAAGCCACAGGACTGTCATAAAGTACTACCCCGCATTTTATAGAGGAAGAAACTGAGCCCAGAGTGAGTTCCTTGCCGAGGCCGCACTGCTAGTGAATGGAGGGGGCTGGGTGTTGAGAACAGTCTGGCTCCAAAGCCCACTGTCCCGAAGCATGTGTTACTAAGTCCAAAGAAAACTCTGTCTTCTCCTTTGTATAGCTTGGAAGTCTTCAAGTCTGTTGAAATGAGAGTAACAGTTTAAGCATTTAATTTAAATGTAATTACCGAGTCTTGAACATTGTAGACCTTTCTCAGGGCCTTAGACGAGAGTGTCTGATGTTACTTCACGTACTCTGGAAGCAGTGAAGGGACTCTGAGATAGCTCCTTGCTGAGGGGCCTGGGTGTGTGTGACACTGTGGGTCCCCATGCTGAAGGCATCCTAGGGATACCTGTAGCCTGTCCCTTCAGTCCTCTCTGGACCCATTCCTGTCTGGGTGTGACTGTCTACTGCTGGCCGTCTGAGGCTCAGTGTAGATACATTTTTGTAAGATTCTAATGAGGCAAACACAGCGGTCAAGCGACAAAGCCCCTTTTGAGATGTGTATACTCTTGGAGTTGCCATCACGACCCTGAATGCTCTCTGCATTGTGTTGTGCAGGGTCTTGAGTCTCGTGGAGAGCAGGAGGCCCGAGTGCAGGGAGCAGGTCATGGTACCCAGTAGTCTTTCACAATGAATCAAGGGAGGACAGGGGAGCCACGGGGAGAGAGGGTGAAGGTCCAGGCTCCCTGCACCGGGGATCAGACTCTGGGAGAAAGCCTTGGGAAAGGCTGCTGGGTTTTGTCGGGCAGAGGGTTAGAAGGTTGGCAGCTCAGAACTGAAAGCCACACTTCCTGTAGTCGAGTGGGTGCCTGACCAGGTGGTTTCCTTTTTCTTTTCTTTTTTTTCTTCTTTTAATTCTGGTTTTAGTGCACAGGCAGATGCCAGATGGAGGTGGGCCTTGCTTTCCACAGAGTAACACACCATCTAAATCATGCCCGAATAGCCTGCCAAGTGAGAAACCTAGCAGATTATCCACTTGGCAGTATGCAGCTAAGTGTGCGGGCGCGCACACACACACACACACATGCACACGCATGCGTGCAGGTCACTTGGATGTAGTACTTTCATGTTACAAATGTCATACGCAAGATAGGCTGTGGGCTTGCCTTGGTTCGCTTGGGCTACCACAGCAAGTAGCACCGCCTGTTTGGCCTCAACGATTGTGATTTATTTCCACACAATTCTGGAGGCTAGAAGTCTGAGATCAAGGTGTCTTTAGGGTTGGTTTCAAGGCCTCTCTTCTTGGCTGGTAGATGGCTCTCTTCTCCCCGGGTCTGTGCATTGTCTTCCCTCCGGCATTGTCTGTGTCCAGATCTTCTCCTCTTGTAAGGACACCAGTCTTGGTGGACTGAGGCTCACCTTCATGGCCTTGTTTTAACCCGATTACCTCTTTAAAGACTTTGTCTCCAAATATGTTCATATTCTGAGACTGTGGGTTAGGACTTCAACATACGAATTTTAAGGAGACACAATTTAGTCCGTAACAAGGCCCCAATGGGTTTTTCATTGTTTTTGGCTCTAAATAAATGTAATCACTCCAGAAAGATTGGTGACTTGAATATATTTAAAAATATAACTGTTTGTTCAGAAAGTATTCATTGAGAGCCTTTTATTTATATGCAGGCTCAAGGGTTGCAAAGTTAAATGAGGCATGGTTTGTGCCCTCACAGAGTTTAGGTGGGAAAGTGCATGACTAGACCACAGGAGCAATGGTCAGAGGTAATGAACACTTTCAAAACACCCACAGAAGTCTAAGTATCGGGCTCCTCAGTGGCTCAGTCAGTTAACTGTCTGCCTTCAGCTCCAGTCATGATCTCAGGGTCCTGGGATCAAGTCCTGCATTAGGCTCCCTGCTCAGGTGGGAGTCTGCTGCTCCCTCTGCCTGCCACTCCCCATACTTGTGCACTTGCTCTCTCTCTCTCTCACTCTGCCAAAATAAATAAAATCTTAAAAAAAAAAAAAAAAAAAAGGAAGTATAAGTATCAATAACATCTCTTTCCGGGAACCATGATAGAAAATTTTTAAATAGAGCAATTTAACTGCCTGTGTTTTTTTCTCAAGATGCTAAATTAAACCATAAAAATATAGGGATGGTAGGGACCTGAAAGCTCCCTTCTGGTCCAGCTCCGCCCCTGTGCCGCAGAGGTCGAGATGGGTACAGACCCGTGAGGTGCCCTGCCCGGGGTCACACAGCAGAGCAGAACCTCGAGGTCATGCTAGAGTCACAACCGGCACCGGCTGCTCCCAGGTGATCCGCCCTTTCCAGCCTTATAACTTAACTCTCCAGCACTTCTGGGCCTTCTAACACTTAGTTTTTCGAACTTTTTAGAACAGACTGCTCAAATGCTACCCTGCACAACCTTTTCTGTACGTTAATTACATCTTGGTCCTGAAAGAATATTCAGAGAGCTTTTGGAAGTGGTTTATTTAAAAATTGTTATCCAGCATAAAAAGAAACACTCTAGCATCCAAAAGGAGAAAACTTAGCCATAAGATAATTTACTATAAAAAGAGATTCAAAATACCTACTTACCACTTTGGAGAATTTAACATTTCACTTTTAGAGGGCTACCCTCTGACTTCTTCCGTGTCACCCGACACCGTGCCACGCCTTCCCCGAATCACATTATTGATCTTCTCACATATTTTGAAGGTTTTATTCATTTTGCCTCATATCTTAGGAGTAATGAGTTTTACGTGTTTGGGTCAGTTATTTTTAGGTCTGTCTTTATTCACATCTTAGGAAGTATATGTCCTTGTCCCTTATCCCAGGGTCCTGAATTGAGAGAACAAGTTCATATTCACCATTCCTGTGCCATTTGTGATTTCCAAAATCATGATCAAATTCCCTGAGAGTTTTTATACTTTTAGACTGAGGATTATTAGTACATGCAATGTGTTTATAATCTTGACCTTGATTTTTTTCCTTATTGGTGAGTCTTTCTTAAAATGCCATGGCCAGGCACATATCTGTATAGTAGGGGCACCTGGGCCACAGGCTCATGTAAGAGCCATATAATGCTCTCAGTGCCGATGAAAGTGCCCTTTCCAAGACTTTTTAGCATAGACCAAAACTTGGAGGCCAGTTTATGTAGAGCTGGGGCCTTGGGTGAACACTCTTGCTGGTAATGGGGTCATTCTGTCTACTGCATATTTATGTAGAAGGAGATGCCCTTGAAGCAGGTGCATGCTGGTAGGTCTGTTTCTAATGCTACACTCTTGAACATGGCCACATGTCCCAGCCAGTCCAACTACACTTTGTGCCATTTGCCGAGGAAGGCTGTAAATCACAGCGTCCCTTTGAACTAGCATCTAAAATAAGCAATTTCCTTACTACTGCAGATGGACCTGGAAGTTTGGATTGATTACATGTGACCGTGCCAGACCCAAGTGTTCCATAGGTGACATGTGCTTGGAATTTACAATAAGCAGTTTTTGAGGAAAATATAAAACTGACCTTGTCAAGGCCTACTAAGGAGTTCCCAACTCTGAACCCCACTCAGCCTCTATGCTCAACACATTTTAGGTGTTCCTTTTCTATCACTTATATTTAGCAGCTATAATTTCAGCAGACTCTTTTGGAATTTCCTCTCCTCCCATCTTGAGTCAAGCCAAATTGCTAGCATTGCACAGGTGTACGTCTCGCAAGCTGGAAAATGTGGCCTAGGATGGGATGAATATATAACCTTAGTTAGGTGTTTAGCCATCAACCATTTCCTGACTTAATTGAGCAAGGAAAGAGTGCTCAAATGAAAAGTAGGGAAAGGATGGTACGGTTCATGTTTTAAACGGACTGCCTGTTTAAACGGACTCCCCCCCCACCCACTATAAATGCGTGATGGCGGAACGGGAGCGTCCATACTTCCATCCCCGAGCACCTGTTTGGAATAGTCACTGGCAATGCACAGAGCACGGAGAAGTGATGCAAATGGCATAGATGGTGCATCGCCAGCCCCGAAGCTGATGCCGTCCCGGGGGGGGGGGGAAGACATTCAGCTGGGCACAGTTAGAGAACAGAGCAGAAGGGGTCTGTGTGAGCTCCAAAGTGAGAAATCAATGTGGAGGTTGGTGGGGAGCTTCCACATTTGGGGAGAAGACAATGAGCATGAAGCAGGAGAAAGGGCTCATAACCCAGGTAAGGCCAGGAAAATGAAGTTTATTAGCTAATAGGCTTATTTATTATATCTTCGGGAGCTGTAACATAGTCTCAGTGTCCTCTCCTTCGAGCTGGCGTGTCTGTACTCACCACCCTGGACAGCTGCGCATTATCCTGGATCATTTTCTTTTCAATTCAGTGGATAGTAGTCTCCATAACAACATCTAATTATTGTGGTCTTTATCACCTTTAGAGGCTTCTTACCTCCCTGTTTTGTTGCCAGATTAGGGCTCCTGATAACGTGTTTGTGATTTCAGTCTTCAAGGCACTGAGCTGACGTCTGATCACAGAGCAGCTTCGTTGCTCTGTTGGTGTTAATTATCCACTGTTCTTCACGACGTTTTCTTTCTTTCTGATGAAAACTAATTATTGTAGGATTTTTTTAAATAAACATAAAAGGAAAAAGAAAAGTTGAATGAACCCCATGTTTGAAGCTCTGTCACTCATCTTCTGCAGTTACTGGCATGCTGCCCTTACGACTTCATATGTCCACCATCACACTGTTTTTAGAGCATTTTAAAAGCAATCACTGAAGATTTTATCATTTCATCTATAAAATCTTGAGTGTGCCCTCTCTAACAGATAAAGCCTTTGAAAGAGATGGAAGCACCATACCATAATGACCCTCAACAAAGTCAGTGGCATTTCTTCGTTACCATCGGACACCCTGTCTGTATTCAGTTTCCCCAGCTGTTTCAGAAATGCCCTTTTACCATCGCCTGGTCCGAGTCAGGACCTAAACACAGTCTGCACATTGCATGTGGTTGATGTGTCTCTGAAGTTTCCTGGATTTTCAAACTGTTCCTTCTCCATTTATTTGTTTTTTACTGCAGTGTATTTGTTGAAATGGGGGGACCATTTGTCCTGCGGAATTTCCCACATCGTAACCTCACAGTGTTACGTGGCATGGTCCTCTGTCCCCCGTGGTTCCCGTAAACTTGTATGATGTTGAAGCTCAGTTCAATTTAGGTTTGGTTTCCTTTGGGGCAAGAATACTTCATAACTGGTGCTGTTGCATCACATCGGGAGTCTTAAAGTATCTGGTTGTCCCACTTTTAGTTTTGATAATAGTGACTAATAGGTTAAGTGGTGCCAACCCCAACCATCCACTTTCATGGTTTAAGCAGCCATCGACTAATTCTGGAGGCGTCAGGTATTTCTGGAGAGACCTTTTTTCAGGAGTAGCCAGCTTGGGTAGCAGGCAGGCATGCCTGGTGGTCTGAGGGGTGGCCTGACCTGGGGTCCAGGAAGCGATCATCTATTTAGGCTGACCCCTCAGGATATAGAGTTATGGGTTGCATATATAGAACAAAATCCCTTTGGCATTTCTAATTTTACAGTTCTGTTTTTGGAAGTGGGGAAACTTCAAACGCTTATTATTATTACTTGATCCTTCCTTCACTGGGTTCTTGATTTTGTAAGTTTGCAAAGATTGTTTTATTATTGGTTTAAGAATTGAGATTATTGTAAAGCTGGCATTTCAAAATTCATAATAGGTTCTGGTATTTGATGCATGAAATAATGCATGTAGAAATCACTAGATTTCAGTTCTAGTTTTAGAAAATACTATTTCTTGATACTGGGATATGGGTTTGGCTATTGTAAAACAGATCAAAATAATGGTTTAAGTAAGACGAAAGGTTCATTTCTTTCTTTTGGAAAATTATAAGCCAGTAGATAGCTCTGAGAGTGGGGGGCTTGTTCCCCAGGGTCATTCGAGTACTCAAGCTCCTCTCCAGTTATCCAGCCCAGGTGTCACCCTCATCCACATGGTTGAAAAGCTGGCTCACCCCTGCGCCACATTCCAGGCAGTGGTGAAGAAGACTTGGAAGGCAATCATCCCATGGACAGGGCTGGGAAAAGCATGGTCTTCCTCTTAAAGCCCATTGGCCAGAACTTAGTCACATGGCCTTTCTCTGGCCTCAGGTTAGGCTGGGAAATGTAGTCTCTAGCTGGGCAGCAGCATGCACCTGTGAAACGGGTTTCACCACTGAAAGGGAGAAGGAAAGTCAGTACTTAGTGAATCTCTCTAAGCTTCAGTTTTCTCATTTGTAAAATGTGGGTGAAGATAGCCCCCTGTTGTGGCTGTTAGAATCACATGCATGAGTGGATAAATGTCATGGAGCATGTAATTCAGCTCCCTTCACGTTTCAGGAGTCAGTAATTTTTCTCATTTATTGGGCACGTGGGTGGGGCAGCCAAGTGTCCCAAGAGCAGAAAGAACACAGGCCTTGCACTCGGGGTAGATCTGGGTTTGAGTCTTTGTTACTTGTTAGGTTTTTTGTTTGTTTTTTGTTTTTTGTTTTTAATTTTATTTTATTTTTAACTTTTTTTAAGATTTTTTATTTTATTTATTTTTTTTAAGATTTTATTTACTTACTTGACAGACAAGTAGGCCGAGAGGCAGGCAGAGACAAAGAGGAGGAAGCAGGCTCCCCGCTGAGCAGAGAGCCCGATGCAGGGCTCGATCCCAGGACCCCTGGGATCATGACCTGAGCCGAAGGCAGAGGCTTTAACCCACTGAGCCACCCAGGCACCCCTACTTGTTAGTTCTTGACTAAAGACACATTTACCTGAGCTCTCCAACCACCTGTGAAATGAGGGTCAAACCTTATAAAAATTTAATGGAAAAGCACATAAAAACATGTACCAGTGCAGTGCCTGATGTGTGGAAGATACACCGTCCACGACAGCTAACTTTGAGATCTGTATAATTTCGTAGGTAAGCATTCCTGATGGGGAGAAATTATTATATAAAATAAATTTGACTGTTTCCTTTTTAAGTATTTTATTTATTTATTTTAGAGAGAGCAGAGGGAGGAGCAGAGGGAGAGGGACAAGCAGACTCCCTGCAGAGCAGGGAGCCCAATGCAGGGCTCGATCCCAGGACCCCGGGATCAGGACCTAAGCTTAACTGATTGAGCCACCCGGGCGCCCCTGAAGAGGACTGTTTTTAAGCAGTTTGAGCCAGTGACATACAGTCTCAGATCTGTTTACTTTCCGTTTGAATTCTTGAAGCTTAAACCTGAGCCACTGTTTTCTAAAGAGTTCTCTGAGAGGTACAGGCATTGAGGCCACCAGAAGTATCCAGTAAAAATGCAGCTCTGATGAGAATCTCTGGGAGAAGAGGAACATCTCCACATTTTTACAAGTACCTCCGAGAGCATCTTTCTCGGGCTGAAGTTTGGGGTCTCAGGTCTAATGCACACCACTTACATCAGGTATCAGAATACCTGTACAGTATTTCGAAAGAAGAAAAAAAATCATTTCTCTTGTCTCATTTTAGATAAATAAGATTGGAGCTCTAGGTTTTTTCAAAAATGGACTTTGGGAATGAAATTTCCCTCCCCACCCCCCAGAGGGTCACCACTTTAAAAATAACACAGGTTTGTTCTAAATTCCTTTTAGTTATTACGAAACCAGAGATTTCCCGCATCCTATCATCACGCTGTGGAAACTGTTGTGAATATGCTGATGCCGCACATAACTCAGAAATTTCGAGATAATCCGGAGGCGTCTAAAAATGCAAATCACAGCCTTGCTGTGTTCATCAAGGTAGGGACCTCAGGGCATGCAGGGTGTAAGTCAAGTGGCGAAATGTTCATTGTAGCAGTGACTAGTATACAGTTGGTGCCCAGTCAATGCCAACGGTGCATTTTTATGCTATAGGATAAATTTCTGAACCGTAAATGCTGATTTCAACCCAACTTAAAAAAAAAGAAAAAAAGACTGGGGCCTAAATATTCCCCTTTGTGGCTTGTTTCTCTGCAGAGATGTTTCACCTTCATGGACAGGGGGTTTGTCTTTAAGCAGATCAACAACTACATCAGCTGCTTTGCTCCTGGGGACCCGAAGGTAGCGTGTGTGTTGCACACTGGTTTTTGTCTTCCTGATTGACATCCAGAAACCCGTCTGTTTCTCCGGGCTCATGTCACGGTTTCTTTCTATCCCAGAGGCATTCTTGTCCCCTCTTTTGGAGATACTTGCTAGTACTTGGGTTAATGTGTAAGACATTAGGGATACAGTAGTTCTGAATGTAAAATAAGCATACTAACTGATTTTCTCATAAATAACTGAGAAGATTTCTCAACTACAAAATTAAAAGTAAATGTGTTGCGAATCATGGTTTATTTAACATGGAGATAGAAGTAACCGTGTAGGCTTTCTCTGATAGAATTATCTATCTCCTCCCTAGCGTGTCTATTTTAAAGCTCTGCCTTACTCATTTTTTTTTATTGTATTAAGTCTGTGTCTATAATTACAAGCTGCCTGAAATTCTTTTTGAAGTAGGAGGAACATAAATAATAAATGTTCTAAGAGTCAGTGGAGGACATTGTTTGATGAAATGTGTTTCCAGTTTTCAAACAAGTGCCTACAGCCATTCTGAAAATCTGACGTAGTACAGAACATGCAGTTGTAGGAGGGTCGACGCTAACAACTGGTTGTATGATTTCTAATAGGTTTTTAGGATGCTGTATAAAATAGTCAGTGAGGCATTTAACTTTCACTAACTGTCGTTTCCTGCAGACCCTCTTTGAATACAAGTTTGAATTTCTCCGTGTGGTGTGCAATCACGAACATTATATACCTTTGAATTTACCGATGCCATTTGGGAAAGGCAGAATTCAGAGATACCAAGGTAATCTATCTTCACATATGTCAATTTGGGTCTTTTCACAAAAAGCCATTCATTTTTAATAAAAGAGAATTGATTGAGATATGACATTAGAATTTTCTGATTTTTTTGTTGATGAATTCATTTTTTTCTTGTTAAATTTTCATGTAAAAAACTACTGCTAAAATGTGGTATAGGAACTTAACTTGTCAGCAAACTTACTAGACTACAGGTCATGTCAGTGTGACTCTTTTTCATTGAAAAATTCCTTTGCTTAAATAGAAATCCATTTTACTTACTGTAGTTTATTTTTATTTGTTTCACTTTTCCTTTTTTCTTATGAATTAGCTTTTCTTTCACCAACTGTGGAGTCAAATGACACTCCTGTAGGTAGGTGTGGGGTGTGATGCTTGCTTTCTTGCATTTTCCTCCTTTAAAAGAAAAAGAATGCAAGTCATTGCTGAAATGCTTACATATGCTCTTTGTTTAGGCACTTGCCATATACTCAGATTCGTTTTTAAATTCGCGATAAACCAGTGAATTTATTCTCACTGTAGCTAAGATACTGCTGTTAACACCCTTGGGAGGGAGCTGGGTTTTGCTCCTGGGATCTCTATGTCCTCTAGGATATCCCTTTAAAAGGCACAACAAACAGAATGCCCTCCTTTACTCCAAAAATGTATTATTCCACCATTTTCATGGTCCTTGTCTATAGTGGTGGCAGTAACCTAATCACAAGCAACACGGCTTTTCACGTGCATTTTATGTTTGCATGTTGAGTCTTTAACTGTTCCGTATCTTAAAGTTTGAAGAGAGTAAACGCGTAGAGATTTCCTTGTCTTCACTAAGTCATACGAATCAAATTAGTGTGTTGGGTCTGTCAGGTAATACTACCGAGGTTAGTGCTGTGTGCGTACACGGGGATTGATTATTTATACTGATAGAAAAAGCAGAAGGACGCCACCAAACTATTAATGACACCCTAAATCAACGGCCTCTGAAATTCAGAGAGAAACACACAGAAGCATTGGTTCAGAGACACAAATGTCTTTCTTCAGGAGCCACTTGGACTGCCTTTTAAGGAGCCAGAAGGGGGATTGGGGCCCTGGAGTTGGCATTCGTGCGTTCAACACCTATTTACCTGGCACCAACTGAGTCTGGGCACACGGGACTTTGGGAGGCGGTTGTGGACGACAAGGATGAAAATCCCAGGCTGTTTTCCCTGAGTGAAGTCTGTGCAGTGTTAGCGATGAGGTCTGGGGAGAGAAAACTAAAGTGGGGCAAGTAGGGGTATGATATGAGCAGCAGGGCACGTGGGAGAGGGTAGCCAGGAAAAGCCTCACTGCCAAGGTAACTTGGGGGTGATAATGAGATGAAAGCTAGGGATTGAGCATCCTGGGTCGAGGGAATGACTGGGTATTTGGCATCCTGAATCCCACCTGCCTCGTCTTACTCCCCACTGTTGCCCACACTTCAGACATCCCTTCCGGCTCCCAGCATCTCCGTCATGGCGTGCCCACCCCTGACTCTCCTCCGCCTCACACAGCACCCCTCTGGGGGAATCGTCCCCTTCCTCCCCAGAGAATCTGCGCCTCTTCCATGGAGCCTGCCGCGTCTCCTCCTGCCCCCTCCCAGGACCCCAGCAGCGCTCTAAACCTTGTCTCACTCCCCTCACCTTGCAGTCACTAACCCACCTGTACTTGGAGACCGTGACCCTCTTCCTTCCTCCTGTCAGGGTACCGGGGGTTGTCCTTTATACCCCGTGGCTGGGCAGCGAATGTGAGCTGATGCCCGCCTTGCCCTACACTCTCTAGGGCCCTGTTGTTTGTCCTGCAGAACGGAGGGACATGAAATCCTTCAGGTGCCCAGGAGACTCATACATGCTCTCAGTCGACCGTCAGGGTATTTGGTGCCAAGGGGGCCTGCCCTCGGCAGGTGACTGTGGGTGACCTACGGATAATGTCCTTATGGCACTGATAGGAGTCCATGTTTGTAGCATTCCCTCCTCTCCCTTCTTCCCGTTCCCCCTTCTCTGCATGCACGCGCATTCACAGTTAAACCGACGGTATCTTCCTAAGGGTTTTGTGTGAATTCAAGCTGTGCGCTGTCCTTAGGGTAAAGAAAGTTTAAAAAACCATTCAGTGAACATGATTATTCTGGAAGGATGAATATTTTCCCTTGCTTCTGCATAGGACTTGGGGCAGTATTTTGGGAAGGTTGGGAAGTAACTAATGGGGAATCAAAGTCAAAGAAGGCATCTGCAGATTTTCCTCTATTGATGGATTCAGTATGACTTCAGATCCCAGCCACGGCTTACTGACAGGCATATTTCAGCTTTGGAGGGATGCGTAGCTGCTTTTACTTTCCCTCCTTCAGTAGATTTTGTGTTTCCTTCAAGCTGTTCTCTGGAAGAGCTTTCCATTTGATCGTTCAGCTTGCTGATAATTTACTGGTTTAGTGTGGTGCTTTCAGTATTTCAGTGTTAGTTTATGTTCGTTTTTTTAACTTGCTTTTAGAGGTGCAGAAGTATTGAGTATATTTTCTTAAATTGTGTTAAGTAAGTTCTTCATTCAGGGACAGCAGAATAGAGGTTATATGCTAACTTGTTCATTTTAAGCACGTTGGGTTTTAATGGGAATGTATAGCCTTTCATGACCAGGAAAGGGATTAATGAACTCAAGTAGTAAAGAAAATTTTAATAGACCATGTATATCTATTCTTTGTTAATTACATGCTTGTTATGTACAGATTACTTCTCTAGAGTGTCAGTTAGGCAGTAACTTTATTTTTTTAGTAACTTTATTTTTTACCTTCTTGTCAATAACGTAATTTCATTTGTAATGTAGCATGTTGTTGTATATTCTAAAAATTGGTACTAAAACTATTCACTAACTTAATATTTATGCAAGATGTTGTGTCTTCTAAAATCAAAATCTGGTGCAGTTATCTGTATTTAAATTTAAGAGTCTGATGTGGTAAGACGTGGAGCAATATTTTAGATAATTGACCTTTGAATTACACTTGAAGCTAAGTCTAATCATCTCTGGACGCACAGGGTGGGCTGAATGCAGAGGGTGGTTTTGGCTTTTGTTTTATTCAAAGTACGTGATGGCCTCTGTAACTAAAGTGGTTTCTATCCTCATTTCAGATCTCCAGCTTGACTATTCATTAACAGACGAGTTCTGCAGAAACCACTTCTTGGTGGGACTGTTACTGAGGGAGGTGGGGACCGCCCTTCAGGAGTTTAGGGAGGTCCGGCTGATTGCCATCAGCGTGCTCAAGAACCTGCTGATAAAGCATTCTTTTGATGACAGATATGCTTCGAGGGTGAGTGGACTCCAATGGAAGGAAATATGGATTGATAAATGTCCTTTATTTTAAGTAATGTAAAGAAGGTAACCTTCAGAAAATTTAGTGGTAGCAGCACCGAGAATCTTCTCTGTTTACACACTAAAATCTAGTAGCAGTATTTATTTATTTACTTTTTTGTCAGAAAGAGAGAGACAAAAGCAGGGGAGCAGCACAGGGAGAGGGAGAAGCAGGCTCCCCACTGAGCCTGACTCGGGGCTCGATCCCAGGACCCTGGGATCATGACCTGAGCTGAAAGCAGACCCTCAACTGATAGCCACCCAGGTGCCCGCTAATAGTCGTCTTTATAGGAAGGATCCAAATACAGGAGTTGGCCCAGTGCCCACTCAGTCCATCATTAAAGGCTCAGAGCCATGGGATAAACTTGGCCATGTGGGTTTGTTTCAGAGTCATCAAGCAAGGATAGCCACTCTCTACCTGCCTCTGTTCGGTCTGCTGATTGAGAATGTCCAGCGGATCAACGTGAGGGACGTGTCGCCCTTCCCCGTGAACCCCGGCAGTGTACGTAAGCATACACACCTGGCCGCAGCCTGCATGTGTTTCCTGAGGCTGCTGTCACCGAGCAACACAAACGGGGTGGCCAAAACCAACAGATGTTCATTCTCTTGTAGTAGGGAGGACAGAAGTCCACAGTCAAGGTATCCACAGGGTTGGTTCCTTCTGGAGGCTCTGTGTGCAAAGTTTGTCCCGTGCCTCTCTCCTAGCTTCCAGTGCTTGCCCCAGATCCTTGATTCTTTGGCTCGTGGCCGCATCATGACAATCTTGGCCTCTGTCTTTACGCGGCCTTCTTCCTCATGTGTGTCTGTATCATCTCTGAAGTCGTCTCCGTTTCTTAGAAGAACACCGGTGATTGGATGCAGGGCTCCTAATCCAGGAGGACTTTATTTTGCCTTCTGTCTTAATCACATCTCCAAAGATCCCATTTCCAAATAAGGTCACATTTTGAGGTTCTCAGTGGACATGAATTGGGAGGGGGGATACTATTTAACCCAGGACACACCCATCCTTTTTTGTTTGTATGTTTCTTTTGCCACTAAAACCATAATAATCCATAGTACTCTTGATTAATCGCATTTCTGGCTAAGATGGGGCCAATCAGTAAACCTTCAACTCTTGGGATAAATATCATTATTAAAACCATCCTTTTCTGTTGGACCATACCTTGTAAGACATAAGGACCATCTCTGAATTCAGCAAAAATTTACAGGGAGAGGAGGTTAAAAAGGAAAGCGTAGTTTTAACCTGTGGACTCTGAGAGCTCAATGCCAGCTCGTTCTCATGGTAACATGCTACTCAGCCTTGGAAGATCCACATCATTGGGCTAAAGTTTCTCTGTGTCTGTAAAATTAGAAAGTCAGACTTGATGTCAGGGAGGCCAACAGGATTGACGTATGGCCCCACTTTCAGAAACTGACCACTATAATTTATATCATCTTCATGTAGTCACTGGAAGATATATTGGAAATTAAGTTGCCTGAAGGATGATCCCAGAAATGATCTCAATATGTTTGGGGTGGAGACCATCGGCCATTCATTTGCACACGTGCTACCAGTGTAGTAATTTCCTTTTTTCCCTTTTGTTCTGGACCCACGAATGAGCTCGGTTGTTAGTCTTTCCACACCATGATTGTTGCATGCACTTGGGAAATTTTCATGTTGTGTTTCTGTCCCTTTGGCCCCACAGGGATGCATTGTCCTGTTTTTTAATGCTATCTCTCCACCTCTGAATACATGTCCTAAATAATGTCACACTGAGAAGCGCCTTATGTGTAGAATGTGTTTTGTAGTTCTGAAGGACACTCATCTCACCCCATACAACATTGTATTTCACAAGTGTGCTCTCTGAACCTGTCTGCTTTTCTGATCTGACTAAAGAATTCAGGGTATAATGCTACCTCTTTGTACATCTTCAATCCTGAGAAAATCACCAAAGAAAAGCCCCTTTTATGACAGAACTTCAAAATTAACAATTTCTCCACTGCCTGAGAGTGCACACGAAGCTGCAAGCTTGGACAGCTTTTCCGTGCTGCTGTTGTAAGTCACTGCTGCTCATTTGGGAGGATTTCTGATGTGAGAGAAAAACCAGTGTTCCATTTAGAAAGAGCATGGGAGGCTCTGTCTGAGGGAAAAAACAGTCTGAGGAAATGTTGGACATCTGCGCTGTGGAAGGGGAACATGCTAGACCTTCTGGGGCAACAGACAGTGACTTTATGGACCCAGAGTGCTCTGCCCACACACTTGCACCCTGTCCACTCCCCGACCCAGGCCCTCTGTCCTGCTCGCTGAGCTCCCGCATCCCCCATGCAGCACATCTGACCGGCCAGGCTCTTGGGTCCTGTGCCCGCACCTCCCCGACCCTTCCAAGGACAGCTGCTGACTCTTTGAAAGTCATCTTCGGTTATCTCTTCTCTCTCTCCTCTTGGACAGACCATGAAGGAGGACTCGCTGCCAGCCACGAACCCGCTGGTGACGCCGCAGAAGCCTGGCCTCGTGCTGGACAACAGCCTGCACAAAGACCTCTTCGGAGCCATCTCTGGCATCGGTAAGGCTCGGCGCTCCACTCTCCTCCCTCTGCTCCGATTCTGCGCTGCCTCCCTCTCGCAGCGTGGGAGCCACGCCGACTCTCACAGGAGGCCCTCGGAGCCTGCGCTTCTGCCTTGCACGGTCTTTTCCTGCTTTTCATATTTAATGATGGAAACCCTCGACTCGACCCTGAAATATAGACACCCCCCCCCCAAATTCTCATGCATTGAAGATTCCATACACCTAATCACGCGTTTGTGCTGTTTGCTTTTTGTTATGCTCACATTAATTTTTCATTTTAAACGTCCAAATTGGATTTTCAGGAAAGGAGTTTTTAGAAAAGGAATGTCTTTGCAGGAGCATGTGGGGGGATGTGGGTAGGATTTACTTGTGCTGATGGTGATTTTGATGAAATGTGATCGAGTAATTGCTGAGGAGATGGTGGTCTGTGGCAGGAGTACAGTTCTGAAATCGGTTTTCTAAAATCTTCTTCCCTAGAATATTTTTCTCTCTGACATAATGTAAGAGCAACCCCCATGGGGAAGAAAACAGATGGCAAAAATCAAGATTCAGATTGAGTAATGCTTGGAAGAAAATGCCTGAGAAATGTACTTATTAATATTCTGACTAATTGAGCACTTGTGCCAACTGCTTCATAAAGATAGTGGTACAAAAAGAAAGTAGACGTGTCTTCACAGAATTGTCACAAATACTCACAGATTTATTCTGTCTTTATTTCTGTCTTTTACTACATTTCGAATAAATGAAGCGTCTGGCTATGCCAAGTGCTTGGGACACCCAGTGGGTGGACTTAGGTCACGGGGCAGAATAAAGGGCTCTTAGCCTTTTAATTTGCAGGAGTATTATTTATTCTGATTGAGTCCTTACCTCCTTGTTTTTCTTGATGTCGAGGTGCTGTTTCACGTAGGTGATGAAAGTGAGCAGAATGTAGAATCAGAAACCTCACACCAGTGTCCAGATTTATCCTACAGTACCAGTCTTTAATCATACTTATGCTTACATATATTTTTTCAAAGCCGTGGTAGTCTCATTAGATATCGTAAAGGTTAAGTGAGTTAATGCGTGCAGAATGCTCAGAGCAGAGACTGGCTTGTGGTGGTTGTATTTGCCTTTCTCCTGGGGCCCTCATCCTGTCCTCTTTGCCCTGCTCTGCCCACACACCCAGCCACTGCTCCAGGGCGGGAAAGGGACTCTCATGGGAAGATATTGTCTGCAGAGCTCAGAGCTCACAACACTGGCTTTAAGGTCAGACAGAGGTGGTTTGGGATCCAGACTCCATCAGTTACTGACTGCCCTGAGCAGCGTGTCTCTTCTCGTCACCCTCAGTGTCCACATCTCCAAAACAGAGTCAGGGCAAGGAGTGGAAAGCTCATACAATGTGCACAGTGCCCGGCATGGTGACTGTATCTGACTGCCATTATAACAAGCACAATTCTTCAGTGTTACGCATTTCAGTGATATGCTACTCTCAGTAGCCAATTTCATGACTCTTGGGGCCCAGGAATGTGTAGAAATCCTAACTCCCTCACTAGTACTCTGTAGGATTCAAGACTCTGGAAATGATCAAACTAGAACGAGGCAATACTTTGACTCTGACTTTATTTTCCAATTCTGCATCACCTTGTCAGGGTGTGGGTTGCCTTGAGAATGTAAAGATGAGCTGCTGGGTATCATTACCGAGACTCGAATGGCATTAATGACCTTCAGTTGCTCTGTGTTCGTGACGAAGTTATGAAAAGTATCTGAGACTGATTTAATCCCTTTTCGCTCTCTTAAATTTCAAGATCTGAATCCACTTTCCATAGGAATTCACCCTAACAGACCTTGTCTATTCTCCAGCTTTTTCTCTCCTACCCCCATTGAAAGACTTAAATCCTTGTTCCCTTTTAGGAATGCCTTCCAGAAAAGCCCCCACCTTTGAGTTGGGTTTGCTAGTTTTCTGGTAGCTTGAGCAACTCTTCTTTTATTCACTGAGGAGTTTCCAGTTAACTTGAGTCCTGGTGCTTATCCTTCAAGAGCAGACTTTCTCCTTGCATCTCTATTTAGTAGAAATCTCGTTTTCTTAGAACGTACCTTCAGCATTGTTTTTAAATGCTTTTGGAACATGGTGCATGAAGATTTCTAGAACTGATTTGCTGCCTAGATAAATCTACTCCAAGATTCTGTTTGTTTTTTTAAAAAGCACACATTCTTAAGCCCAGGATTCTCTTTTCCACCTGCTCAGTATTTTGCATTGGGTTGTCTATACAAAGAAGACAGAGGTGAACTGAACTTCTTTTCATTTTACTTAAATGTTGTTTAAGATTTTTAAAATGCACTGGCCTGAGACATTAAGTACAAACACACACACACACACACACACACACACACAATGGGAACCCAGTTCTACTAAACATGTTGATTTTGATTTACTGCATTTCCATCTGTTTGCCTTAGATTAGAATTCTATTTCTGGAACTGAGCCTAAAACCCTGTCAATTTAAGGTCTAATTTTACTTCACTGAGGACCTCTTTTTCATGATCATTATGTTTTACATTAAATATGAAGTCTGGTTATATTAGGAGGACTATAATTATACTTTGGTCATAAAGTGTGTTTTTTCTCTAAGTATAGAAAGAGGCTCATAGTTTTTTCATAGGTTTTTACCTGTTCCCCATGACAATCCATCACACAGTTTCTCTTCTGGAATGAGGGAGGCATCCTGGGGCCAGTGGTTTACACGTTCCAGCCATCACTTCCATTTTCAAATTCCCCTCATGCTTCTTTTCTTAATTTTAATATGCTGATTCAGTTTCAGGGATGGTGGTGGTGGATAAACCTGAGTGTTAGGTGGAGGGAGGGATTATCTTAGAAGTGTTTCAGGGGTGCGTGGGTGGCTCAGTGGGTTGATCATCCAGCTCTTGATTTTGGGTCAGGACGTGATCTCCGGGTGTTGAGATCAAGCCCCACATGGGGGTCTGTGCTCAGCAAGGGGGGCTTCTGCTTGGGATTCTTTGTCTCCCTCTGCCCCTCCCCACAACACACTAAATGAATAAGTAAGTAAGTAAATAAATAATCTTTTAAAGAGAAAAGAAATGTCTCAGTCCATGGCAGCTGATTTGCATCCTGACATATGAAAATGGTGGCCTGTTCTGAGGTGTTGGGGAATGGCGTCTTCCGTGTGGGTGTGGGAGGCCCTGCTTCCAGCTTGCTGGAGCCCAGCACCAAAGACGCTTCAGACAGCGTGCACAGCCAGCCCGGCCTTTCAGCTGGAGGCAAGCCTTGTGGTTCAGCATGGAAGGTACAAGTTTGATGGTCGTTTTAAATCATGTAATATACTGAAATCTTACCGAAGCAGGAAGTCAGTCTACTACTTTTACTTTAAAAAATTCCATAGTTCTGGGGCGCCTGGGTGGCTCAGTGGGTTGAGTCTCTGCCTTTAGCTCAGGTCATGATCTCAGGGTCCTGGGATCCAGCCCCGCATGGGGCTCTCTGCTCAGTGGGGAGCCTGCTTCCCCCCCTCTCTCTCTTGCCTTCCTCTCCACCTACTTGTGATCTCTGTCAAATAAATAAATAAACCTTATTAAAAAAAAAAAATTTCCATAGTTCTGAGGTGGGGGCTGATTCCTGACTTACAGTGCTGCTTTTTCACAGATGTCACACATTTTATTTTTAAGTTTCTTTTCTGCTCGTAACTCTTTGTAGCAGAGATTCGCAAGCATTTTCCGTTCACAGCACACTTATGGTCACAGTAATTTGTTCATTGAGTCTCCAGGCCAGAGTAAACAACCAACAGTTCTGTTTATTAGGTACTTGGAGCCACATAACCTAGGAAGTTCATCTATCTGAACAACTTCATCGGCATTCGAGAAAAATACACATAAATTTAAAGAAAAATTATTTTTAATAACCACACCCATTACCAATGGGATGTGTGCACCTGTTAGGCATTGCCCAGCGGCTCGTTTGGAATCTGATTTCTCACCACCGTCTTCATTTCCCGTTCCACAGTGATTTTCACCCAGTACCTGCTTTTTATCATAGCAGCCCCCAAAGACCTAGCTTCACAAAGATACGACATCATCGAGAGGAACATAGCATGATCTCACATTGAAACTGCAGTTTTGGCAAATGTTAAGCACCATCGTGTTTTTCTTGAAAATGTAAAATGTCCCGAGAGGCCCCGTGAGTTTCCTAGGGCACCTTAGCATACAGTTTGAATACTGTGGCTCATTGCAGGGTTTCATTTTTTGATTTGATAGTTGTAGGTGGATTTATCTTTTTAATTTTTAACATCTTTATCGCATTCTGAAACGGTGTGTGTTCCTTTCGTCTGAGAAATCTAAGGTGGCCTCACATAAGTGAATTCACGGTTGTGTCTGAATGTTTCGGATTATGGCCCTTCTTTAAAGGCGAGGTGGTTGAGTGAAACTCTTGAGCCCATTTCTTAACAACAACAAAAACAAGTGCCATAGAAGAATTTCCCTTAAAGTTCCGTACGGATCTTCATTTTGTCGTATCTCACCAAGTCTTTGGTCTTCGCTTGATTTCTGTTTAGCTTCTCCATATACAACGTCAACTCCGAACATCAATAGTGTGAGAAATGCTGATTCAAGAGGATCCCTCATAAGCACAGATTCGGGAAATAGCCTTCCAGAAAGGAATAGTGAGAAAAGCAATTCCCTGGATAAGGTAATTTCTTTTCATACAACTTAAGTGTTTCTTGCAACTAATGGAGTTAGCCTAAAGTAAACTGTGCTTCGTGTTCTGTTGTTCGTTAAGGGTAACTATTTTTTTTTTTTTAAATAACTCAGTTAACCTGGAGTTATTATCAGAGTTATGATCAGAGTATTGTCTAAGGATGGGGCCCATTTCCTGAAATCTCCCCCATTCTTGTTTCCAAGATTTTCCATCAGGGCAGTGTTTACAGTGGAGGACCTTGAGCAAATAGTTTGGGCAGGTGGGACAGGTAGGGACATCAAAATGCCCCTCATTTAGAATCCCCATCGTCTGTACGCCAGAGAATACCATGTATACAGTTATCCATGCAAATGGGTGTTGGGTCCAGAGCTTGCTCCAGAAAGATTAATTGATCATCTAGGTGATTCAGGGATGAGACTTTATTTGAAACCAGCTCACACTGGTACCTCCAACGCAACACATCCTCCTTATATTTAACATTTTTTTCTTGAAATAATCAAGGGTCAGAGTATTTGGAGCTTTGTGGGAATGGCTAAAGCTTGAATTTAAACCTGGAACAATGATAGATTAGTGTTGCCTTGGCCACTGTTTTCCTGAGTTGCTTCAAGTTCAAGGCAAGCACACATACCAATCAACAGGTGAACCACTTAGGGATGTATTTCTAGCTCTCCGAAACGTGCAGAATGTCCTTCGCGGCAGGTTGGTCATCGTACCTGCCTTTCTGTGGCTGACAGTGACACGATTATCCTTCCGTGCGGTTTTGGTAGAGGTGGGGGCGTTTGCGTGTGGGTGTGTGTCACGACGTGTTGAACTTTCCCCTTGACCGTGACTTGCCTTCATACGTAGAGCGAGAAGCTGCTCAGGAGGCATTCTGCTTGCGTCATACGCAGTGCTGGAGAGGAGGAAGAGAGCTGCCAGTCAGCCAGGAAAAACCGGGTCACTGTGGACTTTTCCCTTCTAACAATCCCACCTTTGCCAGAGGAAACTTTGCATGCTACACCTTCCCTCCCAGTGCAAGAAGCTCTGGGTTCTCCCAGCAGCCCTGGCGAAGTGGGTGGGCAAAATGATGCATTCCACCCTATGGTTTTGCCACTAACTGCACCTGTATTTCTTCTATAATAAAAAACTCATGTATATTATTAATTAAACCTGTTTATCATATACTTTTTTCAGTTGCTGCCCCCAATACCTTGAATGAAAAATTTTTTTTTTAATTGGTCTTTCTGCCTTGGTATTTGCCAAAAACATAAAAAATCCTGCTTTTCAATTGGCAATACAACTTTGACGATTTCAAAATCTCCCGTGACTTTTTTAATCAGGAGATGAGATTCTTGTTCTTGTACTTTTTTTTTTTTTTTTTTTAATTTGAACCCCTTGAACATGTAAACGTGCTGTCTAGTGGCAAAACTGCTCTCACCCTGCGCCCTGCACTTTCTGAAGTTTGTGGTGTTGAACTAAGCCGCTGAGGGAATGGTCTCATCGGTTTAGGGTCTTTGAACAAGCTCTGCTGAGGTGTCCCTTTCTGTTCCTGTTGGGTACCCGCCTGTCGTTTTCCCCCCAGTGGTGCCCCACGATGTCAGCTGAATGACAGGGACTCCACCGCAGGCTTTTGTGGGGCACACAACAGGAGCGTGGATTTTATTTCCTCTTTCAGACACTGGCCTTCTTCTGAGGATATGGTCAGTTCTGCAGTGTCTTCCGACTCATCATTTCTCTTTGATCCTAGCCCACATCCCTTTTTTGCATGAGATCGTACTTGGCATTTTAGAACTGAGCTGATAGCTCCAGCTGTGGTTACCCAGTTTGAAAGGTCTGTGCCTGCTGGCTTGTCTCTTAGGATAGCAAGCGAAGGAAGCCAACAGAGCTTCTGTGGACTAGGCGCTCGTGTGTGTATTTGGTGAAGGTGTGCCTGTGGTTTGTCGACCCATGAGTTACACCTTCCAGTTTGCGTGATTTGACTCAGTTCTAAGAATCTTTCTTCCAAGGGAGAAAAATGAACCTAATTTTGTTTTACCTGGAATAATGGATTAAAAAAAAATCACCTGTATTTCCTTTTTTTAGCACCAACAAAGTGGCACTTTGGGAAATTCTGTGGTTCGTTGTGACAAACTTGACCAGTCCGAGATTAAGAGCCTGCTGATGTGTTTCCTCTACATCTTAAAAAGCATGTCTGATGGTAGGTGAAAGTGAAGATGTCTGTTTTACTTTGTTTCAGTATTTGGTTTCTTTTTTAAAACTTGCAATTGCTTGAAAGGATAGAAGGGCTTAAAAAGCTTTTCTTCCTCATTTGAAATACATGTTAATTTACTAAATGTAGCAGAAATAAAAGTCTTAATTTGGAAAAAGGGTTTTTACTAATTGTTCTAAAAAGTGAGTTCTAAAATGTTCATAGGCCATTAAAAAAAAATTTTTTTTTTATTAAACTCAGACCTACCATCATAATCCAAGAAGACAGAAGCTGATAAATGAGGTAGCCTTTGATTTTTTTTTTTCTCTAAAAAAACAATTTCACTTGTCCAAACAAAGTTACTGGCAACTTGCATAATTTTATTAGTCAGGCTCTTGAATTGGAATATGTAATGTTGGGGGATCTGAGCATCTCTTCCATTTAGGGTATGTGTGACATTCCTGGCTTTAACTGGAAGTGAGATATGATATTTTAGTTTTCTGATGGAGTTAGTGATATCCTAGTAGATTAAGTTTCTCATAAAGGGTTTGACAATCACATTTTTTAATAGAATAAAGCATGTAAACATCCATGATAAGACACTTCAACCCCAGTTTTGTGATATAAGCAATCATTTGAAATCATGCCATGGTACAATGTCTTGTTTCTTCCTTGATCAGAAATCTTGTCTGACTTGCTGCAACATATCAGAAAATGTCCTGTGAAGTGTACTGAGTCAAGGCAAAGTCTTCTGAAAACAAAATGCTGAAGGCCTCTCGTGCTGCCTTTGTGTAGTGGCAGTCAGTATAGGCCTTAAACATCCAGTGGAAGGCATTTCTGTGAGAATAATGTTTCTTTTATATTAAGCTTCCATATCTGCCTGAGAAGAATGTTTCTTTTGTATTAAGCTTCCATTTTTGCAGCCTTAATAGCCAGACCTTAGTACCCAGATGGTAGGAACCACGTACCTGTCCCCAAAATGCTTCAGGACTCGGTTATTTTTTTATTCTGTCAATTTGTTACTTTAAAGTAGCTTTTCAAAACACAACCAACAGAAAATAACTTTCCTTGAATGATGACCAGATAGCAAAGCACTGGGCACTTACTCAGGTATTAGGGTTATAAAGTTGGAATTCTGCCCTTAATATCAAAAGTTCTGAACTTTACATCATGGTGGTAAGTTTTAGCCAGCTTTGTAATTCTGTTTTTCCTTTGCTGAAAGTTTTCCTTAAAATATTTTAAGTTTCAAATAATAAATAAGATCTATAACTAGAACATAACTACCTTTTTAGAGACCAATATTCCAGAAATTTTGCATCCTAGTTAAAGTTATCCTTTAAAGGCAGCCCTTTGGAAGGCCATGCACACGATTTAAAAATGCAGTAACCTCTTCAAAACAGTTTTAGAGCCTCTCTTTTAAAAAAAAAAAAAAATTACCTTCAAGGTATCAATTTCCTTCCTTTTATAATTTGAATTTTTGTGTGTGTCATGTTTAAAAAGTCTTCACCTATCCCCAGAGTCATGAAGATACCCTTCTTTATCCTCTTTAAAATAGTATTACTCAAATTTTCACATTTAAATCTTAGTATTTACCTGGACTTGATTCTTGTGTATGGTATGGGGTGGGAGAGAAAATGCCTTCAGAGTAGTTTAGCGGACAGACAACCAAAGTCAACTGTGTAACTGTGTAGCTACTCTTTCCCTTTTCCCACATTCAAGGAGCACCTTCTATGCTTGGGCCCCTCCCTCACTCATAGAGGTTAATTGTCTTCCCCCCCAACCCCCCAGGTCAGTAACCTCAGCCTCAGCCAATAGCCAAGAGCAAGGAAAGGCAGCTTGGTGCTCCTTGGCTGGTCAGCCGGCTCTGTCTGATTCGTGCTAGGGTGACCACAGATGTCTGCAAGTTGGCCCGGAGAGGTCCTCTCATACTCACTCGGCTCCTTGGGTGCTCACCCCATGAGGATGGCCAGTCTCAAGTAACCCGAGTCTGTTCCTCTGGAATCTAAACTCAGAATTCCTGAAAGATGGAAGCCTACTGACCCACCCATGTTACTGGTCTAATAAACTAAACGTGGCTTTTAAAATCAGGTGTACTTGATTGAAGTCCCCATTCCACCATGATTCTTTAGCCTGATGATGGGGAGAATTGCTTGATTTCTCTGAGCCTTTATTAGCTTATCTATAAATTAGAACACTGTCTCTGATCATGGTGGCAATTAAGATATGACAAGTGTGCAATCGTGAGACTACCTAGCACAGTGCTCACTCATAACAGATTCTCCATGTAGCGCTCATGGCTTCCCCTGCCCCTCACCATTCTGGACAAGCGTGCAGTGAAGTGTCCATGGCCGAGCACCTTCATGAGCCATTGGCATCACTGCAGACTGCTCTCACTCTCCTCAGGCCCTCGAATTCAGTGGAATTTCTCTCTGAGAGAAATCTCTTCACCGGGTTTTCAACCTCAGTATAAAATAAAAGAACGCAAAAATGTTTAACTATCTGGTGGTAGCACTCTTGGGCAAGTCTAAAAGGTTAAGGGTCACACACACAGAATGATTCCTGTAAATGGACTTGTAGGATTTGCCTTTACTGAAAATATGGCCGGTCATCTTGACACAGAGCAGATGTGCGGGTGACTTCCTCTTGGAGACAGCACCACATCATCACGCTGGGAAACAGGAAGTTGCATACATTGCCTGTTTGGAAGACTATTTGGCAATATCTGTCCATAACATTTGACGTGGCTGTTTCACTTCTGAGAATATTTGTCCTATAGATGTAGTTGGACAAGTGTGCAAACATCCATATAAAAGGATAGTCTTCAAAGCATAATTTAATGGAGCAGAGCATTAGGGGGGAAAACAAGTAAATGTCTGTCAGTAAGGGACTGGCTAACTCGGTTATACCGCATTCATGGAGAGGAGTATCAGGCATCTTGGAGAAGATTGGAAGAGATGCAAGCTATATTACTGAAATAAAACTCAAAGGAAAAACAGTGTGTGCAGTATGTACGCATCCATTTCTGCATGTGTGTGTTAAGAAGAGAGGACTTAGGTACATGCAAGAATTTTCAACAGATTCCTTCCTGGAGAGCGATTCTGTATGAGGCAGAGAGAGAGCTTAACTTGAGATTATTTGCCTACTTATATTCTCTGAAATCTCTGAGCCACTTAAGAGCACATTATATGTAAGTTAAAATTGTACTATCTAGTGTTAGGTGGTGCATGATGAAATTAAAGTTCAGGTGTTCAAATGCAGCTTCTTGAAATTGAATATGCACATTGTGTCTGTTACCAATAAAGACTGGTCACTATGGTTGGTTCTTTGATCAGCTATAAAAGGGTTTGAGGGTTTATTCTCCAAAATCTTTTCCCCATCCCCTGCTGTGTATAATGCACATCATGATTCTGACCAAATTAATGTTTACTTTCTAGATGCTTTGTTTACATATTGGAACAAGGCTTCAACGTCTGAACTTATGGATTTTTTTACAATATCTGAGTGAGTAGTTTTGCTTTGCTCTCTGCCTCTTGATTTTTCTTGGCTAATTAAGAAGTGTGAACAAGGGGCGCCTGGGTGGCTCAGTGGGTTAAGCCGCTGCCTTCGGCTCAGGTCATGATCTCAGAGTCCTGGGATCGAGCCCCGCATCGGACTCTCTGCTGTCTAGGGGAGCCTGCTTCCTCCTCTCTCTCTGCCTGCCTCTCTGCCTGCTTGTGATCTCTCTGTCAAATAAATAAATAAAAAATCTTTAAAAAAAAAAAAAAAAAGAAGTGTGAACAATGCTATGGGGTTGAACTAGGAATGTAGTATATTCACATCCACCGTTTTTAAGCTCTTTCTCCTGGACCTGACCCCAACACTTGCTCTCGGGAGCACATGACTCAGTGGCCAGTGACCAACCCTAAATTATTAGATATGTGGTTGTTATAGATGAGAGCTAACTGCTTATGTGTACAAACTATCTGAATAAAATGACACAATTTATTAGCTGAATTGGGTGAATGCTATGTTTCAAAGGTGAGTCTAATGTAGCTTAAACAGATATAAATACTGAGACAAAAATAGCTATAATTTTTAAATGTAAGTGAAATCTTACATTTTATCTATATTACCTACTTGTAACTCTTCAATCATTCCTTTAAGCTCTTTGCTTTAAAAAAAAAAAAACCACCACGAATCCACAATCCCCTGTAAAATTTGCTAGGGCCAGGGGCACCTGGGTGGCCCAGTCAGTTAAACATCCAACTCTTGATCTCAGCTCAGGTCTTGATCTCAGGGTTATGAGTTCAAGCCCTGCATTGGGCTCCACCCTGGGCACGGAACCTACTTTAAAAAAAAAAATCGCTGGGGCCAAATGATTTTCCAAATCCAAAAATTTTTAGATTTTTTTAGATTTTTAGAAAATTTACATAGAGAATATGTTCTGTAACATCCCAGCAAGGTCTTGGACACCCCACAATCAAACACATTATTATTTCTACAGTACTATGATTGTTCATAACAACTGGATAAATTATAACTGTAAATGCTTTATATCTGGTAATTGGGGTCATGATTTTGCTGTCAAATATATTTTCCTAAACTCAGGCAAAAACCTGTGATCAGAGCTTTTTGCATTTTGAATTACGGTCTTGGTTCCTAGTCATGATCATTCTCTCCGCTAAGTTACAAGTGGGAGAGATGGATGAGATTCCGCACCAGAAGAACTTACTGGACATTATTGTAACAACTTCTTATTAAATACATGATTTTTTAAAAAAATCAACATTGTCTTTAAATTGTCTTTAAAACCAACCCAAAAATTAGACATTTGATGTCTGTAAGGGACCAGTCCATTTAGAAAAGCCAAAAGAGGGAGCTCCTTTTCCGGATTGAATGAGGACAAATAAGCAGCTGGGAGAGTGCCCCAGCCCTGTGCTTTCCCCAGTGCCTGTGCTGAGGCAGACTGAGTCAAGGGGCAGTCCCGTTTGTCCCAGGCCTCCCAGTGGCTTCACTGGCCAGCACAGTACCGACAGCCCAGCATGGTACCTCCCCTCTAGGTTAGTGATTTTCTCTGGGTGAGAAAGACCCTCCTAAGAATTTCTGAATACCAGAAGTAAGAGGCTACTGGTAGATGTAAGAGTTTATTGAATGTGTTGTTGCTGATGGGTTGAAATAAAGCAATGTATTGGAAACCATTTTATTTTCCTGTTTCCCTAATAACATTTCATCCTGTCTGCAGAGTCTGCTTACACCAGTTCCAGTACATGGGGAAGCGATATATAGCCAGGTACTGTAGGGGTTTGGCTTGAATGTGTATCATTCTCTGTATTACTTGGCTCTGAATGTGTGGACATTGTCATCCGTGATGATTGGCAGTTGGAATTCTCATAAACAGCCGCGATGTCTTTGGACTGCTACCGTCAAATCTGATGGCATCTTTCGCCTGCATTCCCACACTCCTTCTGTCTCATTTTGCCTCTTGCATATCCCTTGGAAGGATTGCCCTCCGTGGCCTGCTGCTTCACTGGTGTGCTTCCTTCCAAATACGCCCCTGTGTTCTGTTCCTTCCCGTCCGCTTTCTCTTCTCCCAGCTCCCCCAGGTGTGTCTTCTCACTCTTTTCTCCTCCTCCAGTGGTTTTGCTTCCCCTGTTTGACTTTCAAAGGTCACTTTTTACCATTCCTTCTCCCAGCTACAAAGATAATAATTTCTCACATAACCATTTTTCCTTTCTTCTTCATGAAAGAATGCTTTCAGTCCATCTCAGATTTGTTCAAATTTCCTTAAAAACCGTCTCTGCAACGGAGCCTTTTCTCCTCAGTCTAGATAAGCTGTCCATGCCCTGCTCTTATCTGACCGGAACTCTTGATTGAGTTTCATACATCCTCACGGCCCTGCCCCACAACATACTCTCAGATCCATGCTGAGTTCGAGGGGAGCCGGAACCTCATTGCGAGGGGCACCCAAGCCTCTCTTTCTTGGAGGCATTTCTTCAGAGCACATCTTGTCCTTACCACGTTCCCACTCCTGCTCTGTGGCTGCTCAGCGCGTCTGTATCTGTTTTGTCCGTGTTGTGTGTCCCGTGATAATGTATTTACAGGGTTGGTCTAAGTATCCTATATTTCCATTGTTATTGTTTATTTATAAGTAAACACATTTATATTTTAGAACAACTTTAAAATTCAGTAGTGATTGAGTTTTTTCCTCTATAATTCTGTTTTACAGCAATGAAACAGGAGAGAGATTTTTAAGATTATTTGAATGTGGAGATTTTTACTTTTTATGTTAACTGTTCTTTTCTTGGGATATTTGAGACATTTGCAGAATTGTGTTTCATGTTCAATAAGAGTTTGTGGGTTTTTTTTTTAAAGAGTAAATTTAGAGAGTATATTTTACACTTTCATCCTATTCGTATTTATTTTTAACTGAAACATGGTGGCACTTGAAGTGCTCTCATTTTAACTGTTATTTTTTATCGTAACAGTCAATTATACATTTGCACTTTTGAGTACCAATGCAAGTATATACAAGGTGACCTTATACGGTAACACCTTGCAGCCGGACTTTACTCCCTTTGACTCTGCCCCGTGGACATGGGGATGTGGTATATTTGTAACCAGAAGGCACTGTGCCCGGCAAGCTTCCCAGCCTTCTCGCCGTAACTGTCACCCACAGCACAAGATGGCATTTGGAGAGCGTTGTGCAAATTAGGGTGACGTGCCACAGAGCTGAACATGGTGCATGTGGGAAGCTGAAGGTTTCTGCCCAACAAAATATTTTAGAATTGGGTCTTGTCTAACTGTGAATTTATTTTTTTTTTAATGGCTATAAATTTAATTAAAAAAAAAACTTCCGACTTTATAAGCAGCCTGTATATATTTGCATGTTAAAGTGTGCTTTCTTGGGCTATCCTAAAAACGGATGGGCATAGGAGGGCAGGAGTGGAAGGTGGTGTTGCTTGTTAGGTGTGTTGTGGAAAGATGTGCCCTGCTTCATAGAAAATTCCTGTGGTTTCTGCTCCACGTGACAAAGATCCCGAGCGGAGTCTGAACGCTGTCGGTGTGTGCCCTCCGTGGCAGCCCCGGCTGAGGAATACTGCGTCTTCTCATTGTGTCCCTCTGAAGTCGCCCAGCAGCATGTTGCCCGTTGACAGTCCGTGCATGTTCTAGAACTCCTGTTCTCCTCCACACAGTAACACAATGAGGGAGACGGTTGGCTACGGGCCGGGGCACAGGTGTCATTCCAGCACGGGTCTCATTTTTCATCTGCTCTGGTGATGGTACACAGTAGGAAGTTAGCTGTTTGATTGCTAACCCAGATCACTTTTCTATTTCCTTTACTTGACTGCTGACAAGTTTAACAAAGTGTGTGGCTCTCCTTCCTGCCTGGGTAAGAATAAAGGTGTTAAAACAGCCTCATATAATCCCTCTCATTGCATGTTTGTTCTCTGTTTCTTCCAATGCATTGTTTTCTTTAAAAAAAAATTTTTTTTTTTGCTCTTTAATAACGTGTATAATCTGAAAATATTCATGGTGTTTGGCAGTTGTCCGAACGCTAACCTTTAGCGCCACGTCGGACTGATGCTCTGACTTTTAAAAAGCAGCATCTCTAAAGTCCATCCCCAAACTGGGAAGTTCCCTGCTGTAGCTTACTTTTTGCTTTGTCATCATCAGGTGCTTTGCTATGAACTCAGTTAAGAGCTGCCGCCTGTGTGTGCGTCTCAGGCCACGCTGCTCTGGTCGGCGTGTGGCCGGTCCCCTTGTGCTGTGTCCTGGCCTCACTAACCCCGCTCGTCTCGCTGCGGTGTAACAAGTCTAACTTTTGCTTCTATCCCATTTCACTCATGTTGCAGGAACCAGGAGGGGTTGGGACCCATAGTTCATGATCGAAAATCTCAGACATTGCCTGTTTCCCGTAACAGAACAGGAATGATGCATGCCAGAATGCAGCAGCTGGGCAGCCTGGATAACTCTCTCACTTTTAACCACAGTAAGTCCCATGACGTACCATCGTAACAGCCAGCCATCTCATGTGACATCTCAGAGGGGAGAGCCCCAGGCCGCACCATACCACATCACCAACCGGACTTTTCTTCCAGCTCAGAGCAAGTGGGATGAAGAGCTCATGGCGAAATTTCCTTCTTTGGAGGAGAGTGACACAATGTGGAACGTGGTCAGCTACGGCGCCAGACCTAAAAGCCTGGACCCTTTGTCCCAACCCCCTCCCTTCAGTATTTTTAACGCAAACATTTTGACAGCCAAACATTCTCTGATACCTTTGATTGAATATTTGGATTTTCCGTGCGCGAGTCCTGGGGACATCTGGGACAGGTTCCTTTCGTTTTTCCGACGCCATGCGTGTAATTGATCAAGTGTCCACATTCTGACATTCCAGCTTTGAATGTATGTTACTCCTTAAACTGCTGTGAAAACATAAAGCCCATGATTCAATTTGTGAGGGTGTGGAAAAGCCAATAACAAAGTGACTTTTTCTGTGTTTTCAGTGTGAGAAAGATATCAAGTGTGCTTGGAATTTCTGTAGACAATGGTAAGATTTAATCAGGTTGAAGTCTGCTTATGAGGCCGCTTCACTTGCAAACCGAGACCTTTTTGTTCATCTTGCCTTCCTAACTTTGGGGCTTTCTAACTTCACAGTAGAGATTCTACCAAAAAGTGGGAGCATGTTTTTAATTTACTTTTTTTCGTATCACCAGAGGAGATATGACATCATGTACTGTTTCTAGAAACTTAAGTGTTACATCTCCTTAAAAGTTTTCTCAAAACAGGAAACCTAAAAGATATCAGCCATGCAGCATTTTAAAAACAAATGCTGTCATTTATAATAGGTACCATTTCTATTAGTGTTGTGTTCTCTGAATTGTTTCATCTTTTCTCCAAGCATAACATAGCTAGTTACTGTTTTACATATACAATTACTTGTTCTCATGCCAAGTGATGCCTTTAATGTGTAGCTATTAATATCTTCTCATCATTTCTAATCATAAGAATTCCACTCACTCTGATCTTCCTACCTCTTTCTTTATATAGGCTGGGAGTAAAGACAATAATCCCAAATGCTTTAAAATGATAATAGTTCCGAGTAAGAAGGCTGAGGCATCAAAATACAGCAGCTGTCTACTCTTCCACCCCAACGTTCAACCTAATGGGTATAGACCCTCTTTATAAAATTCTAAGCTTAATTTAGATCAGTATGACATTTGCCTGCCACACACGAATGTACGTTCATGACACATCTCGGGCTCCAATACTGGATTTGTCCACATCTTGTCTGTTAGGGCTTCTTCTAGTTCTGCAGGCAAGGGGTTGACACAAACAAAAGAAGTTTTGTTGTTTTTAGTTTTCATTTCCTATTAAGCAAACAGAAATTAAATTCTCATGGTTCTGCAGGACTTGCCACACTGCCCCTGCCCAGACAGTTTATAACACAGGCATTACCTCTCTGATAGTTAGAATAAATACCTAAACTTTAAAGCACTTAAAAAAGAAAATCAGTAGACCGAGTCCCCCACTCCAAAGATAATCATGTAGGAAATAGAAAATAAACAAAAGTGAAATGAGTGATCAACACATGAGTGTATAACCTTAATCCACCAAGACAGACAGCCGCTCCTCCCGCTGCAAACAGATTTTGCGATGGTGGCTTGAACTGGAGGAGAGAGACAGCTGGCTGTGTTTTGCAGCCAAGCAGCATATTGCGAACATGGTTGACTCCCATTCTCTCTTCCGGCTACCCGCAGAGAGCCTGTCCTTCCTGCCTCTCTCCTCTTTCATCCTGGAGTTTTTGCTCTAGTCAGTTTTCAGTGACACCATCCTCAATCAGCGTTTCTCCTTCTGCCTTCCCGAGAAACAGTGTGTAGCTGATTTCTTTTAGCCTCCTCCTGTCTGCTCATCCCAAATTGGTTCTGGTGTCTCACAGTCCTTGCATCTTCTCCTGGAACTCGGTCTCCATTTATGTCTCTAAGTCTGATGATGTATCTGGGTGGCTTCAGCCTTTTTGAGCTCCAGATTGTCCGTGTGCCCAGAAGCCACAGAGAAGGCAGGACATACTGTATGTATACATGTGTATATGTGTGAGTATATATATGTATGTATACATACGTGATTTCTTTACACCGGTACCGAGGTATTTTATGGGAAATTTGTAGTCATATATGTCTTTATTAAAAAAGTCCTCTTGAACAATGAATACAGTACCTTCTGTTGGACCAACCAATATGACATAAATCCAGCATGTGAGAGATTTGCAGGATGCTGGAATCTAAAATTTATTTGAGAATTTATTTTAGAAAAGAAAAAAAATAGGAAGAGGGCCCCCTCCCTATATATACCACCTGCATTTTTTGTTTTGTCTTAGTTTCAGAGGAAAGACTTTGTCAGGTCTTAGCTTGACCAGCTGGGGGCAGCAGAGGACTGCCAGAAATTTAATCCGGTGGCATCCAAGTTTCAAGCCCCCATTAGTAGGACAGGGGAAAAGACACCATGTGCACCTTACATGTGACCATGGCGGGGTCTTACCTTTACTCTTGGATTTTGATAGGAAATAATGAAAATGATAAGCCCCACTGTGTCCAAATAGCCTTCACTATTCAAAAACACTCAGAAGATAGAGGTTCATTATGTTTGGGTCATTAACCCAGGCATGTGAAAAGTAAATGTTTACAACTTTAAGACATTGACCTTTTTATTGTAAAGTGCATCCTGTTGTGTATCAACAGAAGCTATTTGTGTCAAATGGAAAATTGAAAGTGAGAGCTACCTGTAGAATATTTTACATAAACCATGCTGTTGGGAGGGAAGCTAAGTCAGACATGTTTGTAAGTAAGCGATACATGTGCAAAACACATAAAATAACACTTTGCATCTACTTTGCTGTTATATATTGCTCTAGGAATATATTAAATTCATTTGCATGATAATTCCTATTTTCTGCTGGTACGGTAGAGCAGAAAGCCAGACAAGAGGTAGAAACACTTAAAGAAAACCTACATTTTGTATAATTCGGTATAAGAGAGAGTTCAAGGTCACTGGATTAAGTTGCAGAGAATGTGATTTCAGGTAATTACGGAAAAGCGTTTTCTAACTGAATTGCCCATTAGCTAGTGTGGGCACTGGGAGTTGGAGATGTTGAAACAGACTGGGTGAGGACCCCCGGGGGATATTGTTCAGGTCTCTTAAACGTCACATTGGGAGGTGAAGTTAGATGAGATGGTTTATAAGACCACATCTAACTCTGAAATTCTTTGCTATCTATGAAGTGCAAGCAAGACAATGAGTATCGGTGATCATTAAATTCCCTTACTGTGTATAATACTGAATTAACAGGAAAAATGCAGAGAACACGTGTATTCTTTGAAGTAAAATTACTGTTTTGCAGGTTTTAAGCATGACAATATATCTCTTAAAATGGGTAAAAAATCGACTTAGATGCTTTAAAAGTATATACTCAAGACAGTAAATGAAATGTTTATGAAGTCCCTTTTTTTTTATTCTGAAGCAGGTTTCCTTGATTTAGAAATACATTTTTGCATGTTTCCTAGCATTTCAATTATCAGGCTATAACTCGGAGTTATAACTGACCTACCTCACACATGTCCCTTACATATTCCATCCAATATGACAGTCAATCATTGGTGCTTCTTGCAATTGATGGGGTTTCAGAACTGAGAAAGTCTGGCACGATGCCTCTTTAAAGTCAGGACATGTTTACATTCTTAATAACCTTAAAAATGACTTTAAATTACAATGCATGCTTAAACCAAGTGTTTCCACAGTCTGGGCTATATATCCCATGCGAGGTACTATTTCCAGACACAGCTGAACATTAGATTGAGGTTTTCTTCAGAGAAGAGAAAGCAGATGGCATCACCATTTCCTCAGGTATAAACTCTGAGATTACAGACTCATTCCACAAATCATTTTTGAGCATATTAAGGTTTTTGTATGAGTCAGAGGACAGAAAGCAAATCACATCATTTTTGCCTTGGAATATTATTCCTTATTCTACGGTCTACTCTTCGCTCATTTGTGAAGAAAATATTTTTAGCAATAAAAGTGGGATGGAGATGAACAAATAGATAATAACGTAGAGTTTGATCAGTCTGATAGTTTGCAAAAGTATATGCAGTTAGTAAAGGCTGACGACCGTGAATTAATATATCTAGGGGACTAGGTCTTCCGTGTTTGGGGCCTTCTTTTAGCAAGAAGATTTCATATCATTCAGTAGCATTTACTTTTTTCTCACATTTCTCACAAAATGTATTATTTTTCTGGATTCAGATTATATGGGCCAGAGGAAAAAAAATAATAAAAATAAGGGTAAAGGCATCTGTTGAAAAGGAAGTGCCTCCTGTTAGAATATGTATCTGACTTCAAGCCCAAACATCCTCTGGCATTTGGAAAAAGCAAGTGTTTTTGTCCCTCCCACCACATCCCCTCTGATGGTGTGGCAGTGGGGAGTGAGAGACTGTTTACAGTGTGGTCAGCGTTATTCAGTCAAGCTGTTCTAGTAACAGGAGTTTGTTATAAACAGAGTAAGGTTCATTAAGACTAACATAACAGATGACATTAGAGGAGAAAAAATTCTCATCCTTTGCCTCTGTGTGTTTAGAAGACTTGGGGATTTTAGAATAAATCATTTATCAGAGTTATAACAGAATGAAAATTGTGTCAATGTGAGCAGTGAATCCCAACAACGCTAAAGCAATCCATGATGTGTGTGCCAAAGATGGCACATCGAGGGAGTCCTCCTCTCTCTGATCAACCTAGCTGAAGGTAGTCAGTCAGTGCTCTGTGCCTCAAGGCACCACGGTTCCGTAGGGGAAATCAGTAGGGTTAACACAGCATTCCTTACTTGCCCTGGTGAGAATCTGCTTAATCATCTTCAAAGAGTTGCTGACTGATACTTGAAGAAATTGCATTTTCTCTTAAGACTCCTTTTTGGATATACCAAGTCAGTTTCATTTTCCTGGGTTGGCCTATAACATGGTGACCAAGGACTAAAGCCTTGCCTCGTGCACAACTTAGTTCCAGGCATTGAGACAGGCAGTTTCCATGGGAGTATCCCTCGGTGAACTGTCCATGCGTCTGTACCACTTAGACAACCTCTCCACGCTGCCCTTTATTTTTAGGGACTTTACTAACACTGGCTCAGGAATATTGCTGACTTTTTTGAGACAGGAGTTTAAGGAGAAGCAAAATTATAGCCAGTTGTGGCTCAACTGGATCATTTCTTTGATTCTTCGATGATTCAGACACAGGCAGACAGATTTCTCTATGAATCTGACTGTGATCCTTAAGGAAATGAGATACACAATGTCGACACTTAGAGAGAGTCTAAGAGCTTGGAGAAATTTTGTCATTGTCATATTTCCATACATATATACATAATTACATAAAAACTTCATTAGCGTGGCCATTGATTTTGTGTTTTAAAACAACACATTGCCAAGTTCCAGTCCTGAATGGGTCCAGACCTTCCAGTTGAAATTAAATGGTGAGGAAATTCTTCAGGGTGTAGGCAATTGTGTCTATAATGATCACACCTGCCTACGTTACCTTTCCAGAAAAAGAAAACGTCAGTTCTTTGCCAAGAAAAATATTAAAATCATCACCAAAACAAGTTCCTTATGTGATTTCCCCTGGTCATAAAACTTCAGCAGCCCCCAAAGGGTCTTTTTGACCTGCGATAATTTTGGTTGGTCTAATAAAAGGTGCTATATTCCCCCACACACCCCCGCCCCGGGTTTGTGATCACTTAGCCATAATTAACAATCTGTTTTCCTTTTTCACCATCTCTGATCTTACCAAACAAACCATGCCGAACGAGGGGATGCCCTGGCTTATGATGGCAGTGCAGTGAAATTCGTACCAAAGTGCATCCATTTCTCTGTCTCGGGGAGACCTCTTACTAGAGAAGCAAACACAGAAAGAACGAGCATGGCGCCGGGTGTTACAGAGCCCCTCTCAAGGCACACTGACTCTGTTGCAGTGTGAAAATCATGCAGTTCACAGACACAAACCTTCGGAACTGCCCTTGTAGAGGAACACTGGGTGAAAGCACGTGATGGTGTTTTTAGCCTATTTTAAGAGCAGTGCAGCAGCTTGGAAAACCTCTTTCATAGTCTTCTAAAAATCACTTTGTAACTCTGATGTTTATTAAAGTAAGAATAACATCATGCCAGTTATTTTGTCCTAATAATATGTACTGTGAGACAGTGACCTGGATAAGGAATTTGGAGTGTAGTTTCTAGGTTTCTTTGGGCCCCCCCCCCCAATTACTGGCCTCAAGAAAATCCTCTAGGTTTTCTCTACTTCATTTTCCTGATCTGTATAGAAAATGTCCTGCTCTTTGGAGTATAAAGAAAATTATCTACATAGTAAGTATTGATTTGTGTTTGCTCCTTGGAGTAGAACATTGTATGATGTTTCATTATATTGCCATCTTTCTTTGTCCTCTAGATCAGTACTGTAACATCTCTGCATCCCTACATGTATTTCTGCTAATGCATATCATTTCATAATTTAATATCTCAAATTGTATGTCAAGCTACATTTATGTCCGTACTAAATTGGTTTTTACAGCCACATATAGAAGATATCAGCTTGTATTTAAATTATGATTCTTCAGGTCCTTTCCTTTTCTTAAACATTCCTTTCAGACACGTACTGGCTTTCGTGCTTTTTGATAAAGCAAGTAGAATACTGTTAGCAGTGCAGTCAACTCTTGGTTATCGTTCATTATTCTGGCTGATCATTTAGATCTTTACGTTATCGATTCACTATTTACACGGCCGTCCACCATGTGCCAGCCGCTATTCTAAGAACTTTCCAGATCTTAACCAATTGCATACTCACCACAACCCTTTGAGGCAGATGCTATTACTATCCCCATTCTACAGATCAGGGAACTGATGCATAAAGAGGTCAAATAACTTGCCCAAGGTCACACAACTAGCAAGTCGCTGAGCTGGATTCAGGGCCCGGCAGCCTGACTCTGACTCATTTTCTTAAAAAACCCGTGCTGGGCCACTGCCTCTGTCTGCGTGGGAAGCTTAGGAGATCTCTGCTTCCTTCACCAGCTCCTCCCATCCTAAGAGCTCAGCCCGGTGGCTCAATGGATTAGCTCCCGTCTAGGTGCCTTCCTGGTTCCGCTGTTTACTAATTGTGGGACCTAAGACAAGCTGTCCAACCTTTCTATGCCTCAGTTTCCTTCTCTGCAAAAAGGGTTTAAGAATGTACATGCTTCATAGGGCTGCTGCGGGATTAAATGAGCGAAGACACTGAAAGTTCATAGAATTACGGCTGGCACATAGCCTGCACACAGTAAATGTTTGCTGCTCTTGTTACCCTTCCAGAATTGTTCTAATTGAACGGACACATTATTCATTATGTACCCCCCAACCACTGAAAAAGGGAAACAAGACCCCAGAAAAGCCTTCCGTAAATAATCAAAAGTTGACTGCGACTACGCTGTGCCGCCAGCCTCTCTGTCTGCGGTTGCTGGGCAGTAACCTTGTGTTGTGATCCACACAGGCTATGGCCACTCTGACGCAGATGTTCTCCACCAGTCGCTGCTGGAAGCCAACATCGCTACCGAGGTGTGCCTCACGGCCCTGGACACACTCTCTCTGTTTACACTGGCATTTAAGGTTCGTACTGAATAGCTGGGCCCGGTCAGAGCTTTACCTTTTAAATTCATTCTGCTTGTTTAGTTGAACCAGCAAGAACTTCCTGTGTTGTATTTTTTAATTTCAGCAAGTGTTTTTGCCCCTGTAAAGAAACCACACATCCTCAAAATTCCTTAGTGAAACCATTTCATGGTTAATGACTTGAATTCCTTGAAATAAAATAAAGTTCAGCTGGTCAGGGTGTGCTGCAAATGATGGAAACAGTCCCAGGAGGTGGTTGCCTCTCGGCCAGAGGAAAGCATCCCCCTGGAGAACATGGTTTGCTGTGCCCTCGAGGCTAATTAATAATGGGAACCTCATCAGACATTTCTGCCTCGACTATCTGAGAATATCCAAATGTAGCAGCAGTTAAAATTAGCTACTTATATGTAGAAAAGCAGTAACTACAAACACATTCACCTCTTACAATTTTAAAAAAATCTGTTAGTAACTTCAGTGATAGAAGCATTTCAAGGATAGAAAAGAAAAGATTGTTTTGGTCTTATTTTTAGGTTTCAGCAAGTACTGTTCAAGTAAGTGGAAATGGTCTCATAAGGCATTCACTTGATTCTAGGGACCTAACACTTCCCAGGCTTGCTAATTGATTGCTTCCATTTCCAGCATGGAAGAAGGAAATTGAATTAGAGTTGATACGTGATGATTATTGAAACAGTGTTTGTTTCCAAGGATATTTGGAAAAGATAACCAAAGTCATTTTCTGCTTTACTTATCTTTGATTCTCATAAGGTGCATTTTTTTTTAATTTGGATAGAAATAAGTTACCCTGATACCATGTCACTTGATTGTATACTCTACCTTTATTCTTCTCAGCAGCCATTCTACTCACATCCCCACAGAAAGTCATTGCTGGGAACCCATTGAAGAGATGAAACACAGACCCTAACTGAATGAACGTGGGGACAGCCGTGTCCTAGTCCACGGAGGCTCTACTCTCGTGGCTCTCAGAGCACAGTCCCCTGGCTGGCAGCAGCTGCAGACCCGGAGAGCTTGTTTGAAGTACATATTCTTAGGCCCTGACCCAGACTGGCTAACGCAGAAAGTCTGTGGGTGACCTGAACGCCATGCCTGGAGAACATGGTTTGCTGTGCCCTCAGTTTGCTGTGCCCTGAACACAGCAAACCATGTTCCCCAGCATGTTCCAGAACCATGTCTGGAACTTCTTTCCATTTTCTTTTCCGCGTTTTTAGTTAAAAAATGTGTTGCAATCGGCAATGACAATTTTTTTTTAAATTAAGATTTTATTTATTTATTTGACAGAGAGAGATCACAAGAGAGGCAGGCAGAGAGGCAGGCAGAGAGAGGGGGTGGTAAGCAGGGTCCCTGCTGGGCAGAAAGCCCAAGGCGGGGCTCGATCCCAGGACCCTGAGATCATGACCTGAGCCAAAGGCAGAGGCTTAACCCAGCCACCCAGGCGCCCCTCGGCAATAACTTTTTTTTTTTTTTTTAAGATTTTATTTATTTATTTGACAGACAGAGATCACAAGTAGGCAGAGAGGTAGGCAGAGAGAGGAGGAAGCAATCTCCCCGCTGAGCAGAGAGCCCGATGCAGGGCTCCATGGGATCAGGGATCATGACCTGAGCCGAAGGAAGAGGCTTTAACCCACTGAGCCACCCAGGCGCGCCTCGGCAGTGACTTTTTAAATGTGACTGCCGTGTGTACCTTTATCACTGCCAGCTGAGAATCTGTAAGTTCAGATCAGAACTGTTCAGTTCTATAAGAACAGAACAGTTCAGAACAGAAACTTACAGAATCTGTAAGTTCTACCCTCTGCTTCACTCCACCGTGCCCGTGTCCCTGAGACCCTGCTGCTACTCGGCAGGCGGAGCCTGGCACACTGGCCCGGCGGGAGGACAGGTGCACCACAGATGTAGTCTGTCGGGTGTGTGAGAATAGTGACAGTCTCTTTACTGCGCAGCCTACGGTTCTCACTTAGCCCCCTGAAAAACGCTTGCTTTGTATTAAAGAAGCAACCTGTTCATCAAGGTTCCCAGGTCCCCAGTGTCTGGCCACGCCACAGGCTCTGTCTCTTGAGAAACAACACCTGATGGTCCCTGATTTGTGACATTTATTGTCTTGAAGGTCTTTGAGGAGATTGCTTCATGTCTCTGGACCTAAGATTTCTCATTTGAAGATTAGGAAGAATAGGATCTGCCTCCTGTGGTCAGGGCTATTGGAAGTTTAAAGATGACCTTTGAAAGGACCTGCCGCTTTCCGGGTGTAGATGAGACTTTACCTCCCAGCTCCACTAGGAGCCAGATTCTAAGCCTCAGGTGTCAAGCCTGCTTGACATCTGGAAACCCTGATTCCCTTTTCTAGAACATGGTGATTATGCCTGCTGTGTGATGGACAGATACGAAGTACCCAAAGACATCTACCCTGTGTGCATGCCTTCCCGGTCCTGTAAGAAAGGGTCTAACTCCTGAGACCCAGGGGGAAGGTAGAGCTTGAACGCTGAGGTGATTCTCTGTCAAAGTCCATATGCCTGTGAGCAAAAGCATGTAAAGCCCAGTGCCCCCATGCAGAAGTGGGAAGATGCACGGGCGTTACAGTGGAACAGATGTCACGCCTGGAGGCAGGCTTACCTGGCCTAGATTACAGGTTCATGAGGGGCCCTGACACAGCAGCCACTGGGATCTTCCTCTGCAAATCATTTACTCAGGTGAGGCATCATTTGGAGCATATCAGAAAAATTAAATTTTTACATTGAGTTAGTGGATGTAATTCGAGAAAAATCATCTTCCACGGATAAAAGCCCCATCGTCATCAAGTCTCTGAGTTGACCACATCTAGTAAATTGCCAAAGGTAGCCAAGAAAACACATTTTTAATGAGAGAAAATGTTTGAAAAGATTTCAGCCCTGCTAGTTATTGAGTGCCTTTCACGCCTCAAGCATTAATCTTCACAACAGCCTGGGCTGGTGGATATTCATGTACCCCATTTTACAGATGAGGAGACTGAGGCCAAGACAGGGCAGAAAATTTGCCCAGGATCACTGCACACCTGGCCTGCTAAAGCCCTTGTTCTCCATCCACTAAGCCAGGTGTGGTGGGGAGGTGGGACAGAGAAGGAGGGGACAGACAGAGAGAAGAGGTAAGCTGAGGGACGTCAAGGTAGTTGAACGATCCCGTACAGAAAAAAGAGAATATTACCAAGCACTTCCCAGATGCTGGTCCAATGCTAGATGCTTTCGCATATGTTCTCGCATTTAATGCATAAAAGGGTGTGTTTTATAAACCATGGTAGTTATGTGCAGAAAAATACGGTTCTGGCTATTTTACAATGCCTGTGATTAACACAATCCCAAGTCAACTCTGGCCTTTGCATAGTTGATCATCTTTTTTAATGTGTTTACATGTTTAACCTGAGAATGTATTTTTAGCAATCCCACCTTGTGCCTTTTCTTGATTTTAGCTGCCTGGTGAGAATCCGTACGTGACAGAGAAAAGCACTTGGATAATTGGGTTCTTCTAGGGAGTTTGTGCTCATGTAGACCATGAGCCTGGTCTGCAGAAACACATGAAATGAGGTTACCTTAGTGACTGGTAAGCATTTGCAGCTGAAACAGCCCTTCACTAAGGTGGATTCTTGAAGCGATGTCCAAGTAAAACTAAATGCCTTCTGCCCAGGAGAGGTAGATCTGTCTTAAATAGCACAGTTCTAGACATCTCATTTTGGTGCCCAGGATTTAAGTTCATTGTTATCCTATTCCTAGATGTTTAAACATTACTGATGTTGTGTCTTCATTCTCTGAAAGGCTCATTTCCCTCAGGAGAATGTGTTACAATAATCAAACCTGCCTGCACATCAGACACTTGTGAGATGGATTTATAACCTATTCTCCACCTTGTTGCTAGAGAGAAGCTGTGCCTTTCATATTGTTCTAATGTCTCATTTACTTCCCCGAATAAAATTTTCCTATCCTCACTACAGGTCTACAGGGATAAAAAAGTAGAAATGAGATACACTCTGGTGTTACCTTGGTGACTTCTGAGTGAAGTGAAAGGTGGTTTTGTTTTTGCTTCTTCCTTCTCCCTCCATGAACCTTTCTGAATGTTCAGAATTTTTTAAATATATTTTATTTTTTATGTATTTTTTATATTTAGTGTATATAACTTTTTAATAAATGAAAGAGAGAGAGCAGAGAGGGGGAGAGAAGAAAATTGACTAGAAGATTACAGAAGGCAGCTGGTACAATGGGGTATGTCTGGGGTAAGAGATCCTTTACCCCTTGAAATGAGGGGTTACTTATATCTTAGTGTGAGTGACTTTTAACTGCATTCTTGCAAGCGGGTTTTGGGATCAGAACCCAAGAAGACTAAATCCTGAAAATGGGAAGCGAAGCCTTGACCAGAAAGAGTGAGGCAGGATAATTTAACTCCTGGGTAAGAACTTGGAGACAGGCCAGTTCCAACAGCAAGAACAGGGCTCCTGGCAATTTTTGTATACACCGTCTCATCTGCATGTCTCCGGCAGATAGTGCTGAGAGAAGGAAAGCTCATCTAGATCTGTGCAAACCTTAATCCGGCCATAATTAGGGAGAACAGTGCCCCCTGGGAGAAGTAATGTTCATAGACAACAAAACTAATGTTCACATGCAAGCACTTCCAAAACACTGGAAACGGCCTTCCCCCCTCTCCCTGCCAGTTGGTGAACAGCTGCTCATGGTTGAGAATTATATCATATTCCGTTAATTAAGTCCCATTTTCTGCTCATTAAATGGCTCTCTTTCACATGATGGAATTCAGTACTGTGCCTCAGTGTTTCATGTTACAAAGATCCCTGTGAATTCCAGGTGTCCTACCAGCTGTGAGTCACTGGACCTAAGAAAATAAAACTTACTCCTTGAGTAAAATTTTTCTCCAAAAGTAAGATGAGGTAGATCTTAAAGCTAATACTCTAGCTGTACTTTGCTGTTTAACAGAATTACTTGGCCATAAGCTATCTCCGGTCATTTGGCACAATGATAAGATTGGTTTGGGATACTGGCCTCCTGATGTTTTTTTTATTATAATTGTTTTTGCTTCATGCAGAACGCAGACGTGCGCCCTCGCTCTCGCACACACACCTCTGTGTGTCCTTGATGATGTAGCCCTTTAGTGTCAATGCGTGTTTAAACACGATGGCTACATGCTGGCTTCTGACTCAGCAACACATCTGTCTACTTGTGTGTTAGGCAGTCCGTGAGAGTTTTAGCCATTCAGGTTCACAGGCACTCAGTTAGTATGAATTTACTGCATTTGCGAGAAAGTCTTGCAGAATGGTGAGAAGTAGTCTTGTTTGCTTTGTTGAGTAAAACCCGTGACGTGAAAGTCCTGCTAGCCACCACTTACTGAGCCAGACCCACGAATGCATCAGATGCTTTTTGTACTTGACTCACGTGTTCACAGTAGCTGTGCAAGGTCAGGTCCAAGGTCGCCATTTTACAGACGAGAAAATAAGACTCAGTTTACCTGTGCAGATCTGTGCACGTGATAAATGGGGCCTGATCAAAGCCTCTGGGTTTCCCATCTTACCAAGCTTGTCTGGTTACTCATGGCTTAACAGAGTGCCTGAGAAGCCTGAAAAAAAATTTAATTTTTTTTTTTTATTTTTTTAAACATTTCATTTATTTGAGAGAGAGCGTGAGCAGGAGCAGGGGGAGGAGCAGAGGGAGAAGCAGACTTCCTGCTGAGCCGGGAGCCTGACGCGCAGCTCAATCCCAGGACCCTGGGACCATGACCTGAACTGAAGGCAGACATTTAACCGACCGACTGAGCCACCCAGGCGCCCCACAAACTTACTTTTGGAGGATCTCACTTCCTATACCTCACTTCAGTATTTTTTCCAGCTTGTTAATCAGCTGACGCCTGTAAGGGCGCTTCTTTGTTGGAATTAAGCTATCACAAAGACTGCCTCTGTACTGGTTGCTGGTATACAGTAAAAATAAGTAAATACACAGAAGCCAAATCAGTACTGAGGACCACTAGCCCTTCAAGCCGTGCTACAGTTTGCTAGGCCGTTTTATGATTAGTCCGTCCCCTGATAGGAAGAAGCAAGCGGTCCCTGGGTGGCTCAGTCAGGTAAGCATCCAACTCTAGATTTCGGCTCAGGTCATGATCTCTGGGTCGTGGGATCGAGCGTCGAGTTGGGCTACATGCTCAGCTTGTCTCTCCCTCCCCCTCTGCCCCTCCCCTCCCTCATGCTTGCTTTCGTCTCTCTCTTAAATAAATAAAATAAATAAACTCTTTAGAAAAGAAAAAGAAAAAGCAAAGTCTCCACAGAATTTAGTTATAGGCTTATTTGTACTCCCTGAGGGTTCTCTGCCTTCCTGGAGATTCATGGTAGAGTTTGTTTAAATTACAAGTTGTCTTAGTACCTGGGACATTGAACCTTTGAGTCTGAAAACTGGATGCAGCCTCGTAGGGGTGTCTGGCATGTCTCACTAACCAAGCTGTCCTTGTGTGTTTTCAGAACCAGCTCCTGGCTGATCACGGCCATAATCCTCTCATGAAAAAGGTTTTCGATGTCTACCTGTGCTTTCTTCAAAAACATCAGTCTGAAACAGCTTTAAAAAATGTCTTCACTGCCTTAAGGTCATTCATCTATAAGGTAAGAGGCTTCCTCGGGGGAAGCCCTCGCTGATGACCATCCTTGTGTGCTTTGCCCCTGGAGTTGGGGGAGCACTGATGTCCACCTGCCCGTGCTCTTTGGTGTTCGCCTAGTTCCCCTCAACGTTCTACGAAGGGAGGGCCGACATGTGTGCCGCTCTGTGCTACGAGGTCCTCAAGTGCTGCAACTCGAAGCTGAGCTCCATCAGAACGGAGGCCTCCCAGCTGCTGTACTTCCTCATGAGGAACAACTTCGACTACACTGGAAAGAAGTCCTTCGTCCGCACACATTTGCAGGTGCGCGCGGGTTCACTTGCCGGCGCTGATGGTGTGTTCTGTGGGATTCTGTGTTAGCAGCAAGGCTTCGCCACATTTACCGGTTTACCTCAGCGTAAGTCGGGCAAGGTCTGGCCTTGAGATGGAGGACTGGAAAGTCACATTTACTGGTCTGGTTTATTTCATTCTCCACATGCTAAGATTTGGGCCCAAAGTGCATTTCTGTTTGACTCAATATTGGACTGACTGAAATTCCGTTGAGTCATCATCTGCTAGAGTCTGTGTGAGTGAGCGTGACTCACAGCAAATATCTTAGGTAAAACACAGAAAGTCCAAAGTAATTCTTATTTAAATTTTTTTAAAGATTCTCTATTTGAGAGAGAGTGTGTGTGAGAGAGAGAGCACAGAGGTAGAGGGAGAAGCAGACTCCCCACTGAGCAGAGAGCCCAAAGTGGGGCCCAATCCCAGGACTTAGAGATCACGACCTGAGCAGAAAGCAGACGTTTAACTAACTGAGCCACCCAGAGGCCCCTAAAGTGGTTCTTTTCTGTCTTCCATCTACTGACACACCTGCCATCTCTCCAGAGTTAAAATGTCCCAGATCCTCTATGCTGGGAGCCATGCAAGATATGGAACAATCTTATGTATTTTTGTAGGCTCTCTTCTTCCTTGAACTCATGTAGGAGTGTCCTCTCCATCTCTGTATTTATTCCTCTTTTAAACAAATAGTTGCTGTTTGCAAACTATGTGCTAGGATTCACGGGTACAACCATGAACAAAGCACAACCCTCTCCTGGCCCTCATGGAGCGTGTAGTCTGCTGGAAGACAGACAGAGCCCGAAGCTCGTCTCCATACACTGTCCCCAGTGCTGTAATAGAGGAACTCGAGTGCCCCGAGGAGGAGAGGGCAGACTGGCTGGGGCAGGGAGGCTTCTAGAAGCTGTGAAAGATGAATAGGAGATAGCAGGTCTAGAGGCTGAGCATGTTCCAGGCGATGGATGCACAAGGGGAAGGGCCTGTCGGGGAACTGGAGAAGGTCCTTACAGTGAAGTAAAAGAATGTGGGACAACTGAGAAGATGTCATGCATATCTGGAGGGATCACCTGGACTAGTGATGAGAATGGATCAAGGGAATCAAGGCCTTAGCTGGAGAGACTTTGGGGAAACCATGGTCAAATCCAGGCCCGAGAGGATGGTGTCTTGGACCAGGTATGGTGAGGTTAGAAGAAGGAGAGAATGAGTTGACAGTGCTTAGTGATGGATGGCTCCTGGGGTTGGTGAAGGAAAAGGAAGGAAGAAAGATGGAAGCCATGTGTTAGCTTGAGTGACTGGGTAAACGCAGAGCATGACCCAAACCCCAGTAAAGACAGATTCCCCCCACTGCCATTGCATAGTTAACGTGTATATGTTTTAATAAAAAATGCAAAGGACCATCCACTTATTGAAGATTTAGTGCATACACATTCAGACCAGTAACCAAGGAGGTTAAGTGATAAGGTCTCCCTGTTTATTAGAGAAAGTAAGTGACTATCCAAGGGATAGAGGCTTTATCTGATTCTCATGCCTCTACACTCTCTCAGTGAGCATTTTGCTATGCAGACAAAATACTCAACGATAGCAAAATCACCTGAAATGATTCTTGGAAGGGGAAAAGATGACTCAGACAATGTTTCCCACACTGGAATGATCTGTGCTCAAAACTTTGCCCTGTCCTGAAGACAGGAGCCAAGTCTGGGGAGTCATTTGAAGGTGAAATGATTTTCTCGTATTTGTGTGTCCCTAAGGTCATTATTTCCGTCAGTCAGCTGATAGCAGATGTTGTTGGGATCGGGGGAACCAGATTCCAGCAGTCCCTGTCCATCATCAACAACTGTGCCAACAGTGACAGGCTCATCAAGGTGGGTGGCCCCCAAGCCTGCCTCATCATCTAGGACACATGCAGACAAGGCAGAGCACAGCTGAAAGCCGTGTGTCCTTCTCCCACCCTTGTTTTAGCACACTACCTTCTCCTCGGATGTGAAGGACTTGACCAAAAGGATACGCACGGTTCTGATGGCCACCGCCCAGATGAAGGAGCACGAGAATGACCCTGAGATGCTGGTGGACCTTCAGTACAGTCTGGCCAAGTCCTACGCCAGCACTCCCGAGCTCAGGAAGACATGGCTGGACAGCATGGCCAGGATCCATGTCAAGAATGGGGATCTGTCTGAGGTAGCCCAGCAAGCCTCTCCAGCTGGGTTTTGGGGAAAACTATGTTTCATTTAGTAAAAGAAGCCAATTTTAAGAAAAATTTCCCACTAATCAAAAGAAGGGATACTTCATCAGCGTTAGGCTTGGGGTTACTTCACGTCTCTAAGCATCTCAACCGTTTACAACCTGTAAGGGAATGTTTCTGTCACAGGAGAGGATTGTCTGAAAGCCCTTAGAAACCGTCCACAGTCACATAAATGTGCGCTGATTCAAGCACGCTTAGTTTCTGCATCAAAACTCCTCTCTAGTTCTAAAATTCAGCTCTTTGATGATGGAATTTAATGTTCCTGTTATCACAGTAATGATAGGACATCGCTTTTTCCTTTTGGAGGTAGTCCGTTGTCATCTGCGAATGTGGTAAGCCTCAGAGCGCTGCCCGTGTACAGAGCGTGTTTCCATAAGGAGGCAGGGTGTGGGCAGGGGGTCGGGGATGTGGGCCCCAGACACAGACCAAATCCAACACTTAATCAGTGTGTGACATTGAGCCCGTTTTTCACCTCTCTGTGCTTTGTGACATCACCTGTGAAAGGGGAAGATATTAAGGAAAGCAGTAGGCAATGTGGAAGGCTCTGTGTTCCTCTGAAAATTGTGTTTACAGTTTGGGCCTAAAGCATTTAGGTATGGTCAACAGTATTACCAAAGAAGCGTAATTTTTTACTTTTAAGCTACTGTAATTGCCTAAATTAGTACAGTTATATTCTACATCTGAAAATTTTAGGTAACAATTTTTACGTATTGATTATTTAAGAAGTCCATTCTATTTGACCATAAATTTAATCTGAACTACATATTAGCATAATAAAAGTGAATTCCATTTTACTACTAGTAGTAATTTTTCTATCAATCTGACAAAGAATCAGGGGCTCAGGCATCAGAATCAGGTTCATTTCCAACAACTATTTTTTACACAAAACTGTGGCAACTTCATAGAAAGAAAAAAAGAACTTATTTTGTCTTTCATTTTAAGGCGTTTAGAATATTATCTAATTGACATTAAGTCATAATTTTGGTTTAGAGTTCTGTGTTGGGAAGCAGTTGCTACATCTTTTTTTAAGTTGAGAGAAAACTTTTAGCTACTGACATTTGAACAAATCTCTCAGATCTAGAAAGATACATGCCTTTTCTTCAAATGGTCCTCTTTGTACCTTAAGAGAAGTGATACGGAAATCTTCACTAGAGTAAGAAAAAAAATGCTTTTTTTATCTCTTACATTAAAATTTTGTAATTCTAAACAGAAATGAGACTTACCAAACTTATTACCATTTGTCTCCATTTACAATTTACTTCAAAATTTCAGTTTATATGAATTGTTCCAGTTTTTCTGAAAGGTAAGACGGCAGCTATCAGGAACGCTGGTTTCCTTGAGATCTAATACAAGTCCACACACTCACTGGAGCTCTGTCCGGAAGCACACCAACGCGCTCTGTACGTGGTCATTCTGAAGTGTGTGTCTTTTATTTTAGGCGGCCATGTGTTATGTCCACGTCACAGCGCTGGTGGCAGAGTATCTCACACGGAAAGGTGAGGAAGGAGTCCTGTGTTTTGTGAAATGAATATAAAACTATACAGAGCAGCAAAGACGAGTGAGAGCCATTCAGAAAGATCTGGAAGTGGGGAAGGGGGATGGATTTGTGTGTGTGTGTATGTGCACTGTGTTCATTGTTTTATTCACTGGTAAGACATTGGCTTAGCTTGGTGGGCATAGCAGAGGCACCAATATAAAAAATAAAACTAGGTGGCATATTATTGTATAACCTTTAACTAATGGATCTATCTTGCAAAGACTAGTTAATGAGCTTTGCATCTGGGTGTCCTTGAATGGCCTGTGTTGAGCCGACAGAAGATTTATCTTCCCTTAGTTCCCCCGTAACAGTTTTATCAGTCAAATGACAGTTTTAACAGGAGATTATCGGACAACTTTTTTTTTATTTTAGAACCACAGCCCACTTGGCTTTATTATTTGGGTAGGCGGCCTCATTGGCCAGAAACCTTGCCTCCCCAGGGAAGGAGAGGGCAGGGGCGTGTGAGTGCTGTTCTTTTATATGTTTGTTCCCGGTTAAGCAGACCACGAATCCTTTCATGGGTTCTTTTGGTTAAATACCACTTGCTCGTTTCCATTTCAAAATCAAGAACACCGAGGTTTTTAGAAAAGCTGCTCATGATGTGTGCTCTTGTCCCGGAGCACGGCAGTACCAGATCTGGCTTCCATGAAGTACATTTACAGAGTGAGAAATGGTATAAAGTCAGATGCCACAGCCGGGGAATTTCTGTATTTCTGGTACAGCTGACTATTTGGGATGAAATTGAAGGGAACCGAGGCTTGTCCTACATCAGAGCCCCAGAGAAAAAGAAATTAAAGAGGGTTTCCATATTCTCTTGCTACTAGCATGATTTCCTGTTGAGACCTTTTGTCAGGTAATACATTTCCTCGTGTTTAGAAGCAGACATAGCCCTCCGTCCGGAGCTGCCCCTCTTCCCCTCCAGCCACAGCACCAGTCAGAGGAGGCGCCGGGGAGGTGAGCCTGAGGGTGGGCCCAGCCCCCAGAGCCCCAGCTGCCCCATGACCTGACACTTAGCGGTGTGGGGATTTTCCCTTGCAACTCTGCATGGATAGTCTTGGCTCTCCTTCCCTTCCTTCTTTTCCTCTCCAATTCCATGGCGGTCTGTCCCTGTGCACGGAGGGGAAGCACTTGGGCTGCCCTTGTAGTTACCCTGCTGGAGCTGAGGTGTATATTTTAAATGTGCTCTCTAGCCAGAAGCCTGGGTGGTTGGCTTCCGTAATTTTGCTTTTTTGTATGTTAACGTATCCTCAAGCTCCTAGATTAATACTTACCATGGGGGAGTCTTTTGTCTCAAGGCTTGGAAACGTTAACCATCGGGGAGCTAGAAAAATCTGTGCCTTCACAAATCTACTCTTTCAAGACATGCTTTCAAAATACTCTGTGTTCTTCTTTTTCCCAAAATATGGGAGGTCTCAATTCAAGTTTTGAGTTTCGTTTTGCTTTATTGTAAACAGTGGTCTCAGAATAGAGTAGCAAGATGTTTCAAGGCCTTCTGTACTTGACCATTTTTGCCCAACTGACAGTGTCCGACTGACATAGGACTTTTCCCCCAGTGACTGCAAGATGAGTGAAGGCCTCAAATGGGCCATTATTGCTTTAAAGGGGGGGGGTATCCTTTTTTTTTTTTTTTTAAGATTTTTATTTATTTATTTGACAGAGAGAGGGAGCACAAGCAGGGGGAATCCAGGTAGAGGGAGAAGCAGACTCCCCATGGAGCAGGGAGTCTGGTGTGGGACTCGATCCCAGGACCCCAGGATCACGACCTGAGCCAGAGGCAGACACTTAACTGACTGAGCCACTCAGGAGCCCCAGGGGTTTATCTTTATCCAGATTATTTATCCCAGCATGAACCTCACAGCATTTCCCCTAGAGAATCAGAGTGCTTGGACGTCTGCAGTGTTCATACTGCCCGTGCTTCTGGTCTCTGGTGGTGAGGAGGACAGGAGACCCATCCTCACCCCTCAGGCAGCAGATAGGGAACCAGCTAAAACAGCCTCTCAGCTCATGGCTGCGGCTGTTGAGTGACCTCCTGGCAGATTGCTTCGTGAAGGAGAAGAGCGAGTTCTCATCTGAGCTCCGGGTTACCCTCAGCCACAGTGGGGGACGTGACGCCTTGAAGGAAACAGTTCTGTTGGAGGCATGTGTTTCTCTTTGATTGGCTTTGGCTTTATTTTTCTTGGTATCTGAGCACGGGTCACCGTACCCACTCAAATTATTGCTATTTTTTAAACTACTGATTTGGACCCAGTCCCTGTTACAGTTTATTTACAGGTTATTTAAAGGTTGCATACATTTTAATAAAGGCGGGTAACAAATTAAAAGGATGAGGAAAGAACTGAGGGAGGAGAAGGCTAGGTACGAGGAGGCAAATGAAGAAAAGCACACAGTGGGTCCCTGTGAGAACGGTGGCCTGAGACATGAGAGACTTCAGAGTCCCTTGTCTCCTTCAAACACAGAAGCATGGCGGGCTGGAAGAACCCTCAAGGTCATCCCACTTACGGGTTACTGACTGGCTCTCTCCCCTGCTGTGTCCGTTCTAGGCATGTTTAGACAAGGATGCACAGCGTTCAGGGTGATCACCCCAAACATAGATGAGGAGGCCTCCATGATGGAAGACGTCGGGATGCAGGATGTCCATTTCAACGAGGTGAGCGCCTTGCTTGTGGGGGTCTTCAGTCCGCCAGTGTCTCGGGGGCGGCTGTGTTCTGCCTGCCCCTCACACGATGGTTTTCTATCAGCAGCAGCTGCTGCCCACTTCGCTCTGACTAAGCTCATGCTCCAGGCGGCCGAAACAGCCTCGAAAGCTCCGCCAGCCCCCTTTCTAGGAATTCCTCCTTTGCTCTGGAAAGAGAGTTTGAGGAGCTCGTTAGGAGGGAAGTGAGGCCAAGAGCTCAAACACATGTGGGAAAAGGTCCAGCATTTTGACCATAAGGTTTCTCATTCTTCCAGCCATTAATTTCTCCAGCTCATGGGTTTTATTACTATTTTAATCTTTTAGCATCACACTCTAACCAGCTGAACTGACCGACCCCTCAGACTTTTAAATCGGTGTCCCCCACGCTGACTTCTCTCCTGTGTCGGCAGACATGCAAAGCCCCGAGCAGCCAGACCGGGCCCAGGGGCTCCACTGGCGGGCCTTAGTCCAGATTTTTCTCACCGGCGGTGAAGGAGAACTCCCCGTCCCGCCCCTAGCAGAGATCAGAAGGTTCCACGTTAGATTACGGTGACAGTTCCTGCTACTTTCTTGTGGAAACAGGATCACCTTGCAGCCACTTATCTGGAACGAGGAAGTTTTAAAATAAAGCTAGGAGTTGGAACAAATGCCAACTTTCTGGCTCTGTTCCCTGAATTTCCTCTTTGGTCACTGTCTTTCAGAGGGGCTTTCCATGTGTGCCTGCGTCTCCTCAGCTCAGAGCAGAATGGAACAGTCAAGGGGCAGCTTGTCGATCCTGCCCGTCTTTTAAATAAAAATAATATTGTCTGTTTCTTCGTGTGGAGAGAAAGAACAGAGAAAGAAGTAAATACTTCTGCCTCTGTTGTACTTGTTTTTATGATGTGGAGGTCCTACAATTAATATTGTGACTTTTAATCACGTTCTTGCCAATAAGTAGGGCCACGAGCACACACCCTCCATGACATTAACCAGTCCCTGAATCAGTTCAAAGTGTGGTCCAGGAAGCCTGGGGATCCCCGAGACCCTTTCAGGAAGTCTTTGAGGTCCCTCCTTTTCCAACCGGATGTCTGTGGAGGGCTGGACTTCCTTTGTTTATATCATCCAAAACAGCATGTCGAACAGATTGAGTGCAGCAGCAGATATGAGAATGTCATTTTCTCCTATGATGTCAGACATTAAAGAAAGCTGCAAAAATTTAAAACAATGCTACTCTTTTCCCTAATTTTTTTTGAAAATGTTTTTTCATTAAAAAATGTTATTTTTTCATTAACATGTAATAGGTTCATTATTATCTTAATTAAATTAGTAAACCTGTAGCATTTTCCAGTTGCCATTCCTAATATTATAAATATTGAGATATAACACCCATATACACGAAAGTTCTCAGTAGTTTTTAGGGAATATTCAATCATTTAAAAAAAAAATATATATATATATGTGCATATATATATTCTCAAGCCGCCCTAGTTTAAAAACCACTGTCATAAATTGTCTAGTCTCAAATGCCCTCCTAAATTAAAAAGTGAACATGAGAAAGAAGGATAATGTATTGAGTGCACTTCACATTTAAATATTAAAGTAATTTTAACCATGATAGATGAAGATTTCTGAAGTCCCAAAGATGGGGGGACGACCAGTTAATTATGAAGTGGCATTAACAGTTCAGCTCTCTCTCTACCTTGAAACGCCTGGGCAGATAGTAATTTTTAATTTTTGCTCTGAAGTTTAAAACCCGTCACTGAGACCATAAGGCTTGCATACTCTTGACCTTGAAGTTTTCCTTCAAGGCAAGTGTAACTGGGTTTTTCTCTGAGAAGAGGCTCGAATGTATTGTCTCCTTGCAGAAACCACTCATGTCCAACCCAGCACCTAGACGGACCTCTGGAGTACAGGATTTTATTTAGAATTTGATAAGGAAAGTCGTGGTGCCAAGAACAACTAAAGATTTGAAAGTAAACAGTTCTCAGTATCCTGTCCTTCCTCAGAAGATGCAGTTCAGGTTTGCTCATCTGATTAAGTAATAGGCTGGAGTGATCACGGCAGCCTGGGCATCAGCCTAGGAATAATCAAGTCAGGCTTTATTGAGGAAATTTGTGAATGGCACCCAGCCTGAGGGATAACTAAACATGTGAGAGGGCAACTTTATCAGCGATTTCCAGAATATGGATTTTCCACCCTGTCCTTGAAGCATAAAGTTGGTAAATGTTTAACAAGGTCCGTAGTATGCAATGACCTGTAACCATTAGGCTGTGACATGGTGGGGTTATCAAGTCCTAAGCAACCCCTGCCTGGCAAGATTGAAACTAGCGGGGAGTTGAAAGAGGAGCGTATTCCAGAAGCCAGGCACCAGAAATTGCCACCTACATTTTTGCTTTGGCTGTCAGGATGTTTCAAGAGAAAGGGGAGTTGAACATCTCTCTCCCAGAAGGAGTTCTGGAGGAAGCTGATGGGACTAGGTGTATAACACATAGCCTGATAAAAATCATTGCCCTTTTAATCTGCATTATTAGATGTACTTAAATGCCTTGTGCTCTCCTAACATGATTTTCGTGGAGCTGCATAAGAACACACACTTCTCCTAGCAGCAGACCTCAGATGGGTTTTCATTGATCGCGGTTCGTCTTCCCTGACTCTGATCTAAAGAGCAGACTCCCTCCCGGCTGCTTTTGATTAGATAAAAAGAAACAGCCCATCCCTGTTTACAGTTCTGTTACGCAAGTTGGAGCCTGTGCAGACTGAAGAATTCTGAGTCCCTTGTGTGTCAAAACTCAACATAGAATGGAAGTTTTGAGATCCCTCCTTTAGAATCCTGTGTAGAAATGGGCAGCACACTAGGGACATTGAAGAAAGGCTAATAAAGGGACTATTTTGAAAGCTTGGACAAGGTGTAGGGAAACTGACAAGTAATATTACAGTACCCTTGAGGTTAGCAAGAGCTGGGGTACTACCTCTCACCCTGGGCTAGGAGAGGGGAGAGAGAGCAGCTCCACAGGGGGGCCACCTGAAGATGTAGGGGAGAGCTCAGTCCCGTACCCTGGCAGGAAGGGGCATGTGCATAGCCACCCCATCTTCACTCTCCGCCTGCCCTCCAGGCTCCTGCTGGGCCTTTCACTGGCTGAACTCAGCCAGGAGTCAGAGGACAGGGAGCCCACCCTGCAGGCCAGCAGCCCTGATGCATCAACCTCCCAGCACATAGAGCTAGGAAGGGTGGGCCAAGAGGGACCCTGGAAGGAGAAATAGAAAATACAGTTCATCCTCACTACTTGCCCACTTGCTTAAATTTCTTTGTAACCCCAAAATCGACATCCATGTAGACATTTTTGCAGTCATGCAGGTCATTGCAATAGTGACTAGTGAACTTCACCCATGGAGCTACTCTAAATGGTCTCCCCTTGGCTCATACCAGGACATACTGGCCCTCTTCATGTTGCAAATATTTACTGAGCTTCCTTGGCACTGAACTAGGTGCTGGAGATAGAAATGCGAGTGTGATATGGTCTCTGCCCTGGCACACCGTACTGCGTCCAATGCTTTCTTTGCATTGAGGAGAAGCACCAAAACCATGGTCCCTTATAGTCTGAATTGGAAGTTGTCTGACTTTGTGACCTGGAAATTTCTATATTTACGTACATTGATTCATCCCCTAAGCTAGCTGTGTGCCATGTGCTGGCTTGGGGATATATAAGTGATGTGTCTGCCTCAGAAGGTGACACCTGGTTCAGTAATCCTCAAATTTTCATATGCTTAGTTAGAAATTACTTAGATTCCTGTTACAGATAGATATTTCCAGTCTTCCTGCTCTGCCAGTCCCCCAGGTTGGTTGAGTGTGGTGCCTGGGAATCTGTATTTTAACAAGCATCTCAAATGATCATTTTGCTGCAAAAAGGTTCTCTACTCACTCTTGAAAAACAATAATGTGGTGGATATGTGAATTAAGCCGTAAAGTATACCGTTCCCCAAGCGTTTACGTTTACATTATTATTTTTTTAAAGATCTTATTTATTTATTTAAAGTGAGCACAAGCAGGGGGAATGGCAGGCAGAAGCAGAATCAGGCTCCCTGCTGAGCAAGGAGCCAGATGTGGGACTCGATCCTAGGACCCTGGGATTATGACCTGAGCCAAAGGCAGACATTTAACCAACTAAGCCACCCAGGCATCTGTGTTTCTGTTATTTCTAAATGGTAGATAATAGGGACAACATCTAGCTTCATAAGTAAGGTTAGATTAAATTAATCAATGCTAGATGGAAAAATTGGCATATAAATAAAAATGTTTAAATCTCCTGCACATACATAGGCATTTTTGTGAGCACACACCCCCACATACAACATTAGTGTGCTATTTCCACAGACGGGTGCTTAGTGACCTCAGTCGCATGGCTGGGGCACACTTAAAAATTAAACTGGCTGCTGACATTTTAAACAGTGGTCTCAGTGGCTCATGAGCTTGGTACACCTGAGATCTTTTTAGGATCAATCTAGTAACATAAAATGTGAGCTTTGTGGATTAGTTCATTGAGGGTTTTTTTTTTTTTCTTCCCCAGCCAGTAATTACTTACAGTTCTTGGCATGTATTGGCAATTTAGAAAATATATCTTGGCATTTAAATTTTAAGCAAGGTGATAAAACCATCAAGCTTTCTATATAACAACCGTTCAAGGTCATCAACTCTCTGACCATTGTCTGGATTAGCTCTGGTTTTCAGGTGTGGTGATTGCTGGAAATTCTAAGTAAATTAATACATGGGATTTCTGCCAAGAGTATCATTCATATATGCCCCAGAGTTTAGTTACTATGATATCATAGTTCCTATGACTCTATAATTTTGTGTTCACACATGATCCCTCAAGCTGAACTCTTTTTGATTATTGGTTTTTCTTTTTCTTTCTTTCTTTCTTTCTTTCTTTCTTTCTTTCTTTCTTTCTTTCTTTCTTCCTTCCTTCCTTCCTTCCTTCCTTCCTTCCTTCCTTCCT